ATATCTTATAAGTTTGTTATACTTGAATACAGTTAATACGGATCCCATAAGGATTGGGAATTCACCTAGCTCGCGTCACCTTAGGATTAAACTTCATAACGTTAACTAACCTAAACCCTATTTACTGAGACAGACACCGTTTTATCCTGTCTCAATTATATATATTTTTAGTTTTTTTTTGACTTGATACGATACAGTTAACAGTTAGTCTGAATTTTCCAAAAAAAAATAAGAGGTGGATGATATGACTAATTAAACTGGTGGTCATGGAGTGAAGTGACTGTAAATAAACTATTGGTTATGGAGTGAAGTGACTAAGTAAACTATTGGTCATGGGGTGAAGTGACTGTAAATAAACTATTGATTATGGGGTGAAGTGACTGTAAATAAACTATTGGTTATGGGGTGAAGTGACTGTAAATAAACTATTGGTTATGGGGTGAAGTGACTGTAAATAAACTATTGGTCATGGGGTGAAGTGACTGTAAATAAACTATTGATTATGGGGTGAAGTGACTGTAAATAAACTATTGATTATGGGGTGAAGTGACTGTAAATAAACTATTGATTATGGGGTGAAGTGACTGTAAATAAACTATAGGTCATCACACGGTGTAAATTTTCATCTCATCAATCCACTTTCACAACAGCATAGTATTCGATATTACGTAGCCTACTGTTGTTATGCTTTTATGTGATGGTTTGTGCTATGCTGTACGTGTGTGAGGCGATAGAGGAGGAATTTAGTTGTTAATAATAATCTCGGTCGTTGTCTCAGGGCAAAGGAAGCGAAGGTGGGGGGGGGGGGGGATAATCACATCCTCGCCGGATATTTGGAGCTGGAAGTTGATAGTCGGCCTTGTAGTAACTTCGTTTCTAGATTTTCTTAGTGTCGCGTGCAGCAATTCTGACTTAGTTAACTATACAGACACTGTGTTAAGGCAATAAGGTACCAATAGAGAACACTTCACCACTCATTTATATCAGTGGTAATCGTTAATGTGGTGAAATTTGTATTGTCGCACATTGATAGTGTTGTTAGCTTTGAAGATCTTACCTAACGCATCATTTATTTTGTTTGTATTTTTACCTGTCCCAGTTGTCTCTTGTATTAAAATCATATCGTCATTTCCGGTGTGAGGTTTTATCGCGAACTGAAATTTTGTAATTCAATATTACGTTTGTGTTCTTTTTGGAGTGCGACGTACTCTGCACATCAGTCACGCAGGGTTACGATGATGCGTTTAGCTTTTAGTTATATTCAGGGGAGGGAATATTTTAACTCATAAATACAAAGATATTTTCCAGTATTAAGCTCGAAACACCATTCTTCTGGTTTAGTGTGAAAATTTACGTGTTACAAACTTCAAAATCTCCATTGTTTCGTTTTGTACTGTATTGAAAAAAAAATACGCACACGACAAGTTTTGCAATTACAAAGTTTATCTTCAAGATTTGTATCTCTACGTTCCTTCCCTTGTGTGAGCTGTCTGCCCGTCTTTATATAAGGCTTGTACGCTACATTCCTATATAGCCCACCTGCTGTCAACCTCCTATATTTCCCACTTCTGAATTTTACCTTGTACTGTACCCTTCTTGCTCCCTCAGAGCTAATTCTCTCGTCTCCGTATCACCAACCAACCTATCCATAACCTCTCCACGCCCACCTTCATCCCTCGGAATCCCCGGCTCTGGGACCTGCTCCTTTCTCCTCACCCACACATTAGGCATCCCTGGTCACTATGGGTGGTACCCTATACCTGTTTTTGAGTCTGCCATTCTGTGGGCTTCTCTCTCATCTCGTAACCTAGGTCTTTGTGAATCTCTCTCTCTCTCTCCTTATAACCCGATCTGTTTGTAAACACATCTTCCCTTAACCTGCTGTTTGTATATTTTTTGGGGTTTTTGTGTTGTGACCCTCCCTTCTAGGAAGCTTCTCCTTCCACAGTCCAGATGTGTAAACTTGCCCTAACCTTCAATGTTGTATTACCCTACAAACTACACTTAACCTCTGACCCATAATTACTCCCTACCTGTATATATTCATGGACTATTTCTCTTGTTGAATGTCTGAGCTCCTTGAGACAGTATTTATCTTTAAACGATTTAGTTTTCACAGGTATATGGCTTTTATTTAATTTTTCAAATAAAGGTACAGGTATTCAGATAAATTATACACACAGATCGTGTGTGAAGATAAACATGCTAAGAAATTATATCTGAACTTACGTGTTGTGGTGCCTGGGGCCACTTACCAGCCACTACAGGCAGTCATCATGTGACCTTGGTGGTGATTGTCGAAAACTGAAACCTCTTGCTTGGTGTTACCTGCTCCCCACCCCTCGGCGCTGGCATTACTGTGCTTATCTGCACCTAAGCTGGGATTATCACAACTTGTGTTATTTAAAATGGGATTCACACATTAGACCTTGTTATCACTTCAATGGCTTTACTTTCGATAGGATTTGTACTTCGAGTCAGTCGTCTATGCACGAGGTTCTGTACTTTGGCTTCAACTATTGCTTGGGTTTGCACTGCTCTTACTGAAACTAGGGACTATACCTAACACAACTTACCCAATATAGAGTTTGTAGGTGTCCTCGCCCAAATTGGGGTCTATACTTAACAGCATTTGCCCAAACATAGGTCTGTACCTAATTGGCGTTGTCTGGCGAGGGTCAAACACTTATATGGTATTTTAACCGAAGCTTGACATAACTTCCCAGCTCTGACCTCAGCTACACAGTGCATTTAGCTGGTTTGACCGAGAGTAGTTTCTTCTTGTAATCTAACTGAGCTACTGTCTATGTATGTCCCTGGAGTTTTGGTTTTTAAAATCTTACAATATTTTCAGGGTGCATTCGACACTTGTGGGAAATTCAGGGTGCATTCGACACTTGTGGAAAAGTGAGTTAGCTATTATAGGCGACGTATTAAGTAATTTGTTCAAGGTGTTAATACGTGAGAATGGAAACTGTAATGCAGTTATTCCCGGGGTGGGTTGTGCAAAGAGTATTCTGGTTAGTGGCGCAACTGTTTGTGTTTTTTCTTGTATTTCTCAGGATACATCATGTCGGCTAGGTTTTTAGGTGCTTTAAGTACAAGGTAGTATCTTGGTATATTATTGTGAGTGATTTTGTGGTTGACGAAATAAATATTTCCCGAGATGGTGTGACTCACAAGGTTATTAAGTTATAAAGATAGTACCTGTACTGTATTCTGGTTGTGTATTGTGAATGGTGGTATCATATAACAGTACTTATATAGATAACAATATATTTCACTTTTTTGTAACGTTTGATGATTACACTCCGTGTCCAGTAATCTCAGGATTGTTCATGCAACAAGTGGCACGTAATAATCCCCGATTTCCGTCACAGAATGGAAATGTTTTGTTAAATTTTATACTGTATGTGGTTCACGTTACATAATTTATTTAATCTTCTGTGTCATTTCTTAGAATTATTGATTTGTTGTGTAACTGACAATACAGTAAAGTGAAGCACAACAGACTTTTACGAGAAATATTCTGGATTAATTTTATATTCTTTTACTGATATACAATGATTGTTTAAAATGCTCGGCGAACATTTTAGAATTTGGTTATTGTAGTAAGTAATCGTTTCTGCTATAGGTAAGGCGTTTTAGATGCACCGAATAGCTAACGCGTTAGCTATTCTGTCTGCGCAGATGCTGCTGCTGAGTTGTGCATGTGACACCCTGAATGGGAAGAGCTAACGCTTTGATCGGGCATTAGCGGGCAGCTCCTCCCCGACTTACGACCACCTGCACTTAGGACCTGCCTCAGTCGTAAAATTTTTTGCCAAATTACGTATTTTCGAGTCCCAACGTCGGTACACAGACAAAATTTTCTTTTGTAATTCACTTTAAAATGGCTGGCAAGCTTAAAAGTGAGAGTTTTGTGGTACTGAGAAGAAAAAGAGACACCCATTTTAGATTTTTTATGTATTATTTAAGCATTTTTGACTTATGCCCATTTTGACTTACGACCTGGATCTAGGTCCCTAACCCCGTCGGGGAGGAGCTGTGTGTGTGTGTCAGTTATAATAACTTTGATTTGACCAAAATAAAGATTCATTCATTTCTTTGTCACCCCCCCCACCATTATTATTACTGTATATCCTACCCTCAATTTTTTCTGTGCTAATGGTTAAAAAATATACCAATGTGTCAAGTGCAGTAAATACATCAAATTATACAAAGCAGTGAATGCAACCATGTTTATGTCCATTTACAATGCAATACAGGTACTTATTTGGTTATACAGTACCGTATTGAAAAAAAAAGATGAAATCAGCCAAATAACCAATCTATTAAAAATTTATAAGAAAAACAGTACGCGCTATATATCAACAGTATGGAATCAGGTACAGTACTACCACCTGGGGAAGATATTGGAAGCATAATGTGCTGTCTAATGGTAGATCCTGCTGCTGGCACCACAAAAATTTTGACCAAGTCTCAGGTTGCTGATCTGACTTTGTCTCATTTACATACAATTGCAGGGTCTCAATTGTTTCTCTTACTTTGACAAGACAACATCTATATACAGTATTGTTTCTCATTATTGATATTTTTTATTCATGGCTCTATTATTACTATTATTATTATTTATATTTATATTTAGTTTTATTATTATTATTATCATTATCATTATATTTTTTCGCCCACCAGGCCTTGATGTGGGTCATAAAATTATCTGTGCCCGGGTGGGCTAACGCCCAATAAAAAAAGAACAAAAAATTGATTAGCCCACTTATTTCACCTGGAGTAAACACCCTAATGTTACGTGGGGGGATTAAATTTAGTTTAGCATTAGGGTGACTAATCTTAATATAAAATAAACTAGGAGCTAATCTTGTTATTACCATGAGTTATCACATTTTGGGAAAATTAGATTCACACACCATTAAAATGGTGGTTTTGCTGTTTTAATACTTGAACAATGACCATGATCTAAGTTGCTTTTGTTGTTGCAGGTGCTTGTGGGTGAGGCGGCCTGGTCTGGAGAGCGGGTGTCCGAGTTGAGGCAGTTGGCTCGACAGATCCAGCTACATGTGGCAGAAGACTCAGCCCAGGACACTCCCCTCGTTGCTGAAGTTGAGCGTCTAGGATTCAGAATTACCAACCTTACAGAGGCCATAACTCAGCTCAGCAGCAACTTGGCACTACAGGTGGATGCAGAGGAGCAGCAACAAGAGGAGGCTGCTCTGAAAGAACTACAAGCTGGCATCAACGGAGCTCAAACTCTGTTGGCACTGCCAGAACCTGGGGTCCAAGAGGCAGCAGAAAGAGCTGGACAGCTGCAGGACCAGCTTGTGGCTTTAGGTGGCTCTGGTGGACCCATTATTGAGAGTGGTCCTACACAGGTGGTAGAGGCTTGGCAGATTGCAGTTCGTGACACACATTGTCGTTATGAACAAGTGGTGGCGGGTCTCGGTGGTGATGATGAACAACTTGCAGCAGCATTAACCACCTGGAAACAGTATGTGGATAGTGTGGAGGCTGAGATGACTGCACCAGCCCCAGCCTCACGCGAAGGTCTACACGAAGCCTCTCGCCTGTGTCAAGTTCACCGTTCCATCCTCACCACGCAGACCAATGTATTGCAGACTCTTCAGGAACAAGCTCAGCAGGAAGATGCTGCTCCTCGAATTAAAGACCTACAGGGGCGTCTCCATGAACTGATTCTACGACACAAAACTGTTCTTACCACAGTAAGTGAACGTGAGCAGATTCTTCTTAAGACCATTGCCACGTGGGAGACGTATCGAGTCAAAGTAGCTCAGTTGCAAACCTGGATATTGGCCCTGGAGCAAGAAAAGCAAGGGCTTCAGCTAAGACAGGTTGCTCGTAGACGACTTGAAAAAGTAATTCACAGATTACAGTCCTTGCTAGAGCAGCTGTGTCGAGGAGAAGAGCAGGTAGAGGATGTTGCAAAACTTTGCCAGAAATTGGTGGCATCCTGTGACCCAAGTATACACTCCATCCTGAAGGCAGAACTGGCATCCCTCCAGCAGCGTGTGACCAACATGCGTGCTGGTGTGGAAACTTGGCTGAGTTACCTCAACAGAAGTTCTGATCTGTGGCGACGCTATGAGGAAGTTTACACCAAACTCAATTCTATCTTAAGTGAGCTACAGGCAGGATTATTAGCTGATTTGCCTTCTGATTTCAGCAGTGTGCAAGAAACTATCAAGAAGTATAATGAAACTACAGCTTCACTTGAAGCATTGAGTGGGGATCTGTCATTGCTAAGAACCACTCGTGAAGAGATGGTAGATTCACTAACTCCAGCTGATCTCCGTTTAGTAACCCAAAGGATGTGGCGTGTCACTCAGTTACAGGCTGAACTTCTTCATCAGTACAGGCTCAGGATTAGCACTTTAGAAGATAGACTGGAGTTGTGGCAATTGTATGACACCAGATACCAGCAGTTCCTTACTTGGGCTAAAGACATGGAGGCCAAGATTGATGGTGGCTCTGAACAGTACATTGATACTCTCATAAGGAAGTTGGAACATGACTATCAAGAAGATATCAACTCTAAGCGTATTGAAAAACTTTGGCTTACATCTGAAGGTGAAGAATTAATATCCTGTAGTAATGAAGATCAGGCAGCTGATTTGAAAGTAAAGGTTGAGAGCATTGAGACAACATGGAAACATATCCACGATAAATGTAACAGCAGAAAGCAAAAGCTTCAAGACATTGTTACCACTATCAACAAGGCTGAGGTCACCTTAGCTGAGCTCAAAGAATGGCTCTTCTTAATTGAGAAAAAGCTGTCAAGTCCTGTCATCTTCCAGGAGAGTTCTAAGAAAGAAATAGATCGTCTCTTAGAGGCAGAAGAGGAGGTTCGAAAGGAGATTGAAAAACAGAGTGGAACCATTTCCTCTGTCTTAAACCTGTGTGATATGGTCATTCGGGATTGTACAGAGTTTGATGCTAACGGTGACACAGACTCCCTGCAGGAGGCTCACCACAACTTGGAGAGGCGATGGGGTGAGATCTGTACTCGCTCTGCTGAAAGAAAAGTATTCATCAAGAAAACTTGGAAAATGTGGCAGGAACTGATTGCAGTAAATACCTCCTTTGTATCATGGCTAACAGCAATGGAGTCCAGAGTAAAGAGTATATCGTCATCCTCTACTCTGGTACCATACAGTGCAGTGGAGGAGAGGATAGCCACAGTTCATGAGCTACAGCCATTGATACATGACCAAACGCTTCAGTACGAAAATCTTAACCAGAACTATCGAGTGCTTGCTCGGCCTTACGGGAGGGAAAACGGATTGGACCAAAAGAACGAAATCCGAACGATGGTCAAGACCTCCAATGCAAGATTCCACATTCTGAGTTACCGTGTTACAGTCATTTTAAGGCGTCTTATGTATAGTAGAAGGTTGTATGAAGAATTTGAAAATACAAGAGAGCAACTAATGTCATGGCTCAATGATTTTGATCTTAAAATCTCAGGATATGAACATCAGTCACATGCAGACCTTGAGTACAAGAAGAGGGCTCTTCTGGAACTTGTTGCTGAATATGAAAAGCATGAAAAGCCCCTAAAGGACTTTGACAACATGATCACTTACCTGTTCCAGAGAAGTTGTAAATCTGATTGTCTCATCATAGAAGAAAGCCTCGCAGAGTACTGGATAACTAGGAAACTCATTCACAGTCGACTTTTGACTCTTCAAGAGGCTATCGAAATTGATATCACTCAAATCACAACAATCACCACCACCACCACTACCCAGATACTAGAAACTACTCGGGAGACAATGAGACTCTCTGAAGAAAGATCTATACCTGACCAGGATGATGATGACTACACAGTAACTCTAATGTCAGATGCAGAGCTCCAGAACTTAGAACCAACCCTCAGTTTAACAGACATGTCTCTGATTGGTGCTGTGGGTGGTAGATCTTTGGCTGTAGAGATGCGGGTGGCACTGGACGAGAGCAAGAGACTTCTAGCACAACTGGAAGAAGCGTTGAAGTGCCCCACACCACAGGGGGCTGAAGTTGACAAGATGTACTACTCCTTTGTAAGTGTTCATGAGATAGTGTTATAGAGTAGATGTAATGATTTAAAGTGCTTTTAATCGTGTATATTGTATTCATATTTATACAACCAGTTGGATTGGTTGAAAATACTGTAGTTCAGTTTCTGATATATTTCTCTTTTGAATTAGTCCAAGCAGTTAGCTGGTTGTCGATCATCAGTGGACCTGCTGAGCTCCCTGGTCCAACACACTGGCGATGACAGCGAAGCACGAGAACTTCACCCTGAAATAGATGCCGTTATTGAAGAATTTAAACAATTAGAGGTTCTTGCACAGGCCAAGCAACAAAGACTAAAAGAGAACAGGTAATACTGAACACTTTTATTGCCATCAACTTTCCTTTTGAAATTCTTTTAAGCCTCTATTGACATCCAGTGCTGTTAATATGATCTTGATACCGTATACAGTATGTGCCCTTGTAGACTTCTATTCTTTTATGTTTGACGTTCTGAAAATTTTACAACTTCATAGAGCGTAAACCCTACAAATTTGACTGTTCTTGATGAATTAAAAGGTTTGAATAATTACAATAATTATCCTAAAAATCATTGCTGTTAATAGCAAATGTATTTTTAGTATTGAAGTGGATAGTGTGTAATGTTTAATGTACATATTACAGTACTGTATATTATTGCATTTGGTGGGTATATAGTGTGTGGCAGTGGCTTTTTAGTTCAGTACAATATTTTGCATTGCATATTTAGATTTATGGTACACACTATCATCCAAAACAAGCATTGATACTTAGCATTGCATATATTGTGCTCTATTATGGTGTGCTTCATTAGTAATATATTGATCTGTAGATAGAATAGAAAGGGGCGGGGGTCATGTACTGTATAATACCTTACCTATTCTTTCAGGTACCAGGCATCATAATGTACATCTACAATATATGCCTCCCTATTGATCCCAACTCTTGAATTTCATTTGATTCTTTGTCTCAGTTCACTTGTTCTGGTACTTCATTCATTAAATACTTCAGGTAGCTTGTGAATACTAGGAATACAACAGAGTTAGCTTCCAGTAAATTTTTCAAGACTTTATCACATTCTTCTGAAAATAAGTCAACCACATTTTACAACTAGAAGAATGTTGCTACCCAAACTTATTGTTCACCTGTAAACTTAATCCAGCTCAATCTTGTGTACATTCAAGAAGGATTATCTCTTGGGCTGAAAACTTCCCTTCATACCATATACATTCATCTCTGTGTAAGCCATATCTGTCAGACATTGTACTGTACTGTGTATGGTAAAACTTAGAAACCAGATGTACATATTGCCATAGACTTGAAAAAGGTTAAAATAGTTTGGAGTGAAATTCTGTATTTGGCAGTAGAAGTTTTGGGAATTTGATGGGAATCCTGGTTGACAGTGCTAGTCATGCTTTAGTTGTAGCTTACAGTGCATGTGCATGTTTGCTTGCAGCGAGACGTCTTCCTTGACGTGCCCGCTGTGTTGCAGACGCAATTGGCAACAATTTGAAAATGATATGTGGCGGCTGGAGCAATGGTTAACTCATGCTGAGGCCACCCAATCAACTCAACACAACCCACCTACACCAATGGAGCAGCTGGAGGAAGTTGCCCAAGACCACAGGGTTAGTGTGTTGGTATGATGTATAGCTTGCCACTTTTGTCATATAATTGCTTATTATTTTTATATTAATATGCATTTTCCATTTTCTTATGTTCATCCATATGAAATTACCTTGTTTTTAATGACAGGAGTTCCTCATGGATCTTGATGGCCACAAGTCTGTGATTATGTCACTCAACGTCATCGGCAAGCATCTGGCAGAACACACTCGTGATAAGCGTCGGGCCACACGGGTGAGAGACCGTCTAACTGCTGTCAATCAGCGATGGGAAGCAGTATGTGCTGCAGCTTCTGTGTGGCAGGCAAAACTGCAGACCACTCTTATGGGGAATGCAGAATTCCACACCACTATTACTGACCTGCTTGCATGGACTGACACAACAGAAGAGAATCTTTTGAAGATAGCAGCTGAAGAGGACATGGAAGAAACAGCTCTGCGTGAGCGCGTTAGTCGTGTTCTCGACGTGCGGGCGGAGGTTGAGCGGTGTGAGCCACGTGTAGCGTCCCTGCACGATGCTGCACAGCACCTTCTCCCTACCCAACAGGATGACCAATGCGCAGCTGTACGCGAGCGACTTGCACTTCTTGCGCGTCGTCTTCAGCTGCTGCGTCAGATGTGTTCTCAGCATCTGACTCAGCTTTCTCAACTGCTTGGTCAGGACTTCACAAGCTCTTTGGCATCACTAGCATCTTCAGGGGTGAGTGGTGCTATTAGCTTACCCAATGCATATTTTTTGCCATACAATATATGTTTATTCATATGATTTTGCAGACTTGCATGAGAAAAATAGGATTTGCACCATTGCACGTAGCACATGAAATGCACTCTCTTTTCCAGCTGTACGAGTCTGCCGAGTTCTCTTTCTCGCGGCCAACCTCACCCAGCTCCCTGACAGCGAGCTTCCATTCTGATGCTCAGTACGTACAACTTGGCTGATGGAACCTGCCAAGCACCTTCTGTCACATTAAATGTTAATTACTGTACACGCAAAGTAGAATTATATTAAATGATTTTTATTTGTAGTTCATTATATTACATACTACACAAGTTGAATTTTTTATTCTGAATGAGTTTTTGCTGTAGTATTGTATTTGCTTTTATTTTTCAATTTATTCTCAGTTGATGATATACTTTTGAGGGTAAATTTATTTCCAACAGAATTTTGAAGATATATACAATTCAACAAAAAATGATTATATTACTTTAAACATTTAACACATCCATCCTAACCACATTTTTCTTTTGCTCCAAACAGTGACGGTTTAGTTGGTGATGGCAGTGATGAGGGCGTTGTCCGACGCTCTTACAGATTCCTGGGGCGTGTGATGCGTGCTGCCCTCCCCATCCAGGCCCTTATGCTACTCATGCTGGGAGTGGCCACACTAGTCCCCACCTCTGAAGACGACTATGCCTGTAGTCTGGCCAACAATTTTGCTCGCAGTTTAGACCCAATGCTGCGATACCCTAATGGGCCACCACCATTCTAAGTTCCATACCTTACTCGTAACTCCAAAAGGAGTCTCCCGTCTTCCTAAGGATCTGCAATTCGTGATACAGTAGCTATGTTAACCAAACGTGACTCCAAAAAAACTCCTCAAAATGTCTAATTATTCTCACGTGACTATATATAAATATAAATATATATTATACTGTTCAGCTTACAGTCGCATCTTGATTAGTTTAGTGAGGCTCTGAAAATGGTCATAATGTTTTAATCAGTTTGTGGCTTATAATTATATGGTAAAGTTGTTGATTTTTATCAAGTTTAATAATATTAAATGGTTATAAAAGTTCCTTAAGTAAGTGCCCGCCGTTTTAATTAGAGATGAAGGTAACTGATAAGCTTCATCTTATTTTTACATAATTCTTTGCCCAGGTTAAGGATGCAGTGTTGTCTTATTACTGTGGACTGCATATAGTGGATGAGATGCTTACTGTAGTAATCCATCTGTACCCAGACTATACTTGACTATCCCAACTATGGAGATCACCTGGTGCTATTGTCTGAACACACTTTGGTGTTGGTGATTCTGAAAGCTGTTGCAGTACTGATGAGTAGTAGGTGCTATAAGAATTTATCATGACTGAGAAATGAAAGTGTTATATTACTATTTAATTGAAAAATAGAAATAATGTATTATTGAATATATTATACTTAATTAATGGACTCAGGTTGAAGAGTTGGTTAGTAATTTTAAGAGAACTGGAAGTGGTGATAATGTGGTGTATAGGAGTCGTTCGGTCATCATTGGGTGATGTTGTGTCATCATCTGTTGGTTACTTGGATCACCCACTTGATCACACTCTATCAGCCAATGGTGACAAGTAAGGCATCTGTAGACAAATCCACTTACTTAGGTGTATAAATCATTATCAGTCATTTGTGATAAGTGTTTATGCCCATTGTTGGAGCATTATAAGGTTATGGTTTAGGCATTTGATATTTGGATATTGATTTATGAATATTAATTCACAAGGAAAGAAAAATATTTTCAATGTACTTAGCACTGATATTTTTTATCCTGACATGACTACATTAATATCCCTGTACTGTACATATAATTTCCTTTCTTCTTTTTTTTTTTTAAATATCCTTTGCAAGTTCATATTTTATCTTTTCCTTGTGTATTTTTCGTCTTCAGTGCCAGTAGTAAGGACAAGGCAGTGCGGAACAGTTGGTTAGCGTGGAACCTGACCAACTGTTTCTCATGAGAGGTGGATCTTACAGATGACATATACTATGACAAAACTTCCTAATGGACAGTGAGCTTATTTACTTGTGCTTTTTCGCGGGGGCACAGAGATAGTGAAGCTGTTATCTGTGGGGTCCAGTTCCAGCACTGACATACAGCAGTCTACTACTTGGTATGAAGGTGCAGCACATCTTGTATGATGAAATGCCTTCCTATCTTTTGTATTAAGTCATTGTCAGTCTTTATTTTTATTTTTTACTTTTTTTTTTAGTGTAGGGTCAAAGCTTATTCGCTTGAATGCTTCCTGATGCAAATTATTTGGTTTGGCTGGCCAGGGAAGATTTTTTATGTGGATATAAAATAAAGATTTGATGGGTCATATGTTGAACTTTAGTGCCTGAACTAGATTTACCTAGTTTGTGCAGGCTGTGACGTTTGTGCCATAGATATGTGACCAGCCAATAGGGATTAAGAGTGCTAATGCCTAGCCAATCAAAAAATTTTGCCCAGTCATTGGGGAACAGAAATGCTAATGCCCAGCCAATCAAAACTGCTTTACCACCAAACCATAGCAGCCTCGGACTTCCATCCACTAGCATCGCTTTCGCCAGTGTAGCAGAGCACGCGCTGAGGGCAGTCGTTTATACCATGGTGTGAGTTCAATTCATACAAATATATGTGTTCTTATAGGAATGTGTTTCATATATCCTCCACAAAATCTACAAGTTAACAAATGTAATCTGTCCCACTGGATACAAATGACAGAAATCCGAGACTTTTCACATAGATAAGGTACAATAATACAGTACTACCTGTATTGTGTACAAATGCTCAGCAGTAAACATCTATGAATGAAGCCCTGAGTTTGACAGTTTAATGTTGATAGTATTTACCGAGTTGTGAAGTACAGTATAGTACTATTGACAACACTGAATAAACAATGTACTGTACAATATAATGTATTTTACAACTTGATTCCTTATTTGGCTGCTGCTGTGACAATATTTAAAAAATTCATATTAAAATATATTACGGCAGATTATATGAATTGTTTTTTAGATTCAGGTGACCGATGAAATATGAAGAAAAAAGAACAATTATAATCGTGACACTGATTGAACTACAATTACAGTTCACTAAGAGGCATGAGTTACAATTAACAGTTTACTAAGAGGCCTGGTTTACAGTTAACAGTTCACTAAGAGGCCTGGGTTACAGTTCACTAAGAGGCTGTAGTCAACTGTACCATACATACTGTATGAGGATAAATCCAGGCATTACAGTAAAGTGTCCATAGAAAGTAAGGCACCCCCTAAAATAAAAACCACCTGACGATCTTTTTCTCCTTAAAACAGGCCACCAATAAGCGAGTATGAATAACGGTATTATTTTTGTTTCAAATGAGATCCAATACAATGAAAATCTACAAATCTTTCCAATTAAAAGAACTCGGAATAAGTTGTAAAATAGAAATAGTGACTTGGCTGCTCCAGCACTATGAAAGCCGTTACAACTAAAAATTGGAAGTACATATTAAACAGCACAATGTATATAGATAAACTCAAAATAAAATTTGAATACTGTGAAATAATAGTGGGCTATTTATAAAGAACAAAATGTATATTTAAAGGCATAAATATTATTCAAATAGAATTTGTTTGGTGAAGAGCCTCCTGTTGTTTCTTAACAAACATGTCAACAATGACAAGTCATGCGCCACCAACACTAGGGGACAAGCTCGCCAAGATGGCATATAGAACGAATATTATCCAACCAATACTTCTTTGCACAGAGGGTGGTAGACTTACGGAACAGCCTACCAGCTCAAGCTGAGGAATCAAGAACAGTACTGGGCTTCAAAATAGCCCTTGACAAAACTATCAAGAACAATGGAGGGATCGTACAAGGGCCACTGTCCTTCCCTCACCATGGCCACCTCTAGTGGGTGGCCATTAAGTAAATAAAGTAAGTAAATTATTTCAGTGTCATGATATACAAGCATCAAAGCCAGGCCAGTCAACCTCCCCACTGTTAACCTGTTTCTCTTAATGCACCTTACTCCAGAGTGTTCACAGCCTTCGAGATACTGGAGACAAACAATACATAGATATCTTGGTGGCTTTTCATTATTGGAATTCAAATATTTCCAGTACCTCAACTCATTTAACAGAGAAAGTGGTGAGAGCAGGCCACTTTGTCAAGAGAGTTTTCGCAAATAGTAGCAAGAATATCATGTTTGAATTACCGTCAGAATAATTTAGAAGAAGGCAACACATGTCATCGACTACATCAAAGCCGGTTTCCGTTTTATTTAAAAGATGACCGAAGAATGGAATTGCTCGATTTTTATGATAATGATTTTCTGGCATTTCAGAAGTAACTTTTTTTATTTCCTTGTCGCCTACCTATGTCTGTCGTTGATACATTTCACCAACACTATCAACAGGTTGAGAGGCTTCAGTGAACCACCTGCAAAAGTAGTCTTTCACATCACTACAAATTTCCTTGTTTCGTTTGTAGCGTCAATCATTTCTTACTTTATCCTCTTTGCCACTCATCGGCACGTTAGCCGCTTAGGTCGGTTTACGTCTGTTACAGATTGTTGGCATGTATTGCTTCCAGAATCTGTACCTGTGTCCGTGTTGGTCAAGTCAAGTCTGGTCTTGAATGAGCTTGCCTCACACTCGGCGCCGTCACGCCACTGGCAGACTGTTCCAAGAGTTCACAACAAGGGCGGGTCCGAAATCTGGATCCCCCCTTTTCATCAGAAAATTCCAATACTTTTTCTTTAATGTGGTATTGTACTCAGGCCTTTTTGCATATTAAAAAGTAATTACTATTGTGGGGTATGAGATGTTTGGTTCACACTCAGGATGGGATGGAGAAAGGAAACTCACAATGTGCTCTCTATATACATGTTGTATTGGATGTACAATGCAGCTTGGTGCTGGGAAGGCAGCATGGTTACAAGCATGATGTAGAGAGAGCTGGTTGGTGAGGACGCTCAGAGAAGGACAGCATGTGGGTCGCCATGCTCGCCAGCGGGAGAGAGGACCGCCAGGCAGGCGGAGGAGCGAGGACCGCCAGGCAGGCGGAGGAGCGAGGACCGCCAGGCAGGCGGAGGTGTTGCTGGCCGGTTGGTGTAGGTAGAAAGAGAGACAGATCACCACGAGGTCAGGTCTTAAATAGCGGGGGTAGGCGTGGCTTAGCAGTTGACCCCCGCTCCGTGGTGTATGGCGGCGCTGGTTGACCTAGACCACGAGGCATACACTGGGGAATTGGTGGGGTCGGCTAGGCAGCGACAAACAGCGTTTGTAGGGGAGAATTCCACTACAATACTCCCCCTTCCCTCCAGGCTGTGTAGGAGACTTGTTGTCTGCAGGGTTGCATAGCACATGTGAGGCAGAACGGGCGGTGCGTGCCTCATGTGAGACAACGGCGATGGCGTGGATGAGCCGGTCGCTGGGGACAACTGTCTAGATACACAATATCTGTGGGAGTAGAGAGGGAGAATAAGGGTGTGTGGAGGCGATGAATGTTGTGCTTCCCTCACGGCAGGTACAGAGTCGTCAGATGCGCCTGCTGGGGTGTGTGGGCCTGGGTCAGGAGCAGGGGCTGCGTCAGCAGAAGCGGATGAGGGCTCGTGACAGCAGCTGGGTCCACGACAGCAGCAGGGTGCAGGACATTAGCAGGGAGTACCTGAGGGCGAAAAGAGGGGGTGTGTGGGTCCGCACTCAGGAACAGAGGCCGCATCAGGGGCGGCAGGGGTTACTGCTGGGCCGGGGTCGGCGTCTGAGGCAGGACGGGTGTGCTGGGGTCGGTAGGACGTGGTGCTTAGGGCAGGAAGAGGAGCTGGTGTGGTGTCTGCTTAGAGTAGCAGAGCTGCTCTAGGGTGTCTAACCTGCGGTGTAGAAACTGTAGTTGTAGAGTCGATGAGAGCTACTTCTGTGTGGATAAGCCAGTCTTCCATGTTGCTTGAAGACTGGGAGCGTGATCAGTTTCTCCTCCATCCTGTGTGAGTGCGAATCTCGGGAGTCACCATTTGTGGGGTATGAGATGTTTGGTTCACACTCAGGATGGGATGGAGAAAGGAAACTCACAATGTGCTCTCTATATACATGTTGTATTGGATGTACAATGCAGCTTGGTGATGGGAAGGCAGCATGGTTACAAGCGTGATGTAGAGAGAGCTGGTTGGTGAGGACGCTCAGAGAAGGACAGCATGTGGGTCGCCATGCTCGCCAGCGGGAGAGAGGACCGCCAGGCAGGCGGAGGAGCGAGGACCACCAGGCAGGCGGAGGTGTTGCTGGCTGGTTGGTGTAGGTAGAAAGAGAGACAGATCACCACGAGGTCAGGTCTTAAATAGCGGGGGTAGGCGTGGCTTAGCAGTTGACCCCCGCTCCGTGGTGTATGGCGGCGCTGGTTGACCTAGACCACGAGGCATACACTGGGGAATTGGTGGGGTCGGCTAGGCAGCGACAAACAGCGTTTGTAGGGGAGAATTCCACTACACTATTAATCAGAATATCTCCTAATATCAAGTGCACATGGTTTCAAAATGCCCAGCTCGCTTTGCTCGCCATGTTCTCCCACCCAAAACTTCTTGGACCCCCCCCCCCCTCCCTTTTGATATTCCTGGACAACCATCACTCTTAAAAAGTTTACCCTGACATTTTATTTTTAAATATACCTCCACCTTGCTAAGTTTGGCAGTAACTGGGCGGTTGGGTTCCAGATATTTTTTTGCAAAACTTGAAGAAAGGTAATTAGGGAGTCAAGTGACTGCACAGTAGTGTAGAGTGCTGTTCTTGGGCTTTCGTAATTTTACAAAACCAACAAAAAAGCCAGACTTTAAAAAAAGGCCGAAAATTTAGGAACCTGTGGTCACCCTTTTAAAGGCTGAAGTGTTGTTGCAGACAAGCATAATTAGAGGACGGAATTAAAGAAGTTTTTGGTGTATTCAATGAACGAAGTATTGTATTTTATGACAACTTCGAGAAAATAAATTACTATAATACGAAAAAGACCAAGAATATCCCAACTTTTTTGAAGAGGCCAAAGCAGTGATCTCAAATCAACCATTTACAAAAAGGCCAATTCCAGTTATTTGGCCCCCAAAAAGCCAACCTGGCAACTCTGAGCTTACGTTATAACCAGCGAAGAGTGAAAATCAATTCACACTCGATGTAGGAAGTGATAATCAACTTCAAAATCAAAATGCTTTTAAATAGACAGCAGTGTGCAATTTCCCATGATAGCGAAATGTTACCAAACGTTCGCCCCTCCACAGAACACATTGAAAAAAAGACCGTGAACATTTTATGACGTATCATCAAAGTCATTGGTGTGGAACAAAATTGTCTTTATTTGAAAAAATTTTCAGGCTTGAAAAAAGGGCACATTGCAAGGTATTGGGGGGGGGGGGATCCTGGTGCACTTTGTCTAACTGCTCAATCAACTGAGGACGTAGTGATCATAATATATGACTGTCATAATAGGTGGTGCCACTTGGGACCCACAAGACATTGCTCGCTGTAATGCACATGGGACAAGGTAAATCGTATTACATTAGGTAAAGCGTTGATGCATCTACACACACACACATGCGCACAAGTTGCTGAACACGTGGGACAGCCCAAATGTCGACCCCATCCGTCAGTGACTAAAGGCTTTTAGATGCAGTGTCACTTAACTACAAGTTTTGCGGACTTTATTTATAGAAAATTTATTACATTAATATAACCCCTTAACCAAGGTACTGTACCATAACGACAATCATACATGTGAGGCAACCCTGAGTCGCCGGTGTGCAAGTGACGAATACGTAATGTCCTTTGTGGAAATTGTGGGGTTTGTAAATTTTAAAACTAATATCTTGACATCAACCCTTGCCCTTCTGCAGCATAAGCTGTGTATTTGTAGACGTTCTTATTGTCTCCCTTGGTAAGGTACAGAGACAGGTTAAAGCATCTTAATTTGCACTCCCTCGAGAGATGTAGAGTGAGGGATGACATGATCGAGGTGTATAAATGGAAGTCAGGGCTAAACAAAGGGGACATTACAAAGGTACTCAAACTTTCCAACCAGGAGCGAACTCGTAACAATGGTTTTAAATTAGACAAATTTAGATTTAGGCGCGAAATAGGTAAACACTGGTTTGGAAACAGAGTAGTGGATGAATGGAACAAGTTACCAAATATCATCATTAACACGAATACGCTGGATAGCTTAAAACATAGGTTGGATGCTTATATGAGCAATAGGGTTTGGGTGTAAACGGGACTGCCCAGTATGGGCCAATAGGCCCGCTGCAGTTTCCTCCATTCTTATGTTCTTATGTTTTTAAGTGTGGAGTGATATAGGTAATAGCACAGAATAGAATAACAGGAAACTGACCTGAAAGTATAGCACAATATCACACGATAACGCCCGACAGAAATCTCCGGTAAATTCTGCCATGCACTTATACAACTGCAATGTTAAAGTTTGGCTCATACCAGTAATAACAACGGAGGGATCCTATACAGGTCATTGACCTCCTTCCCTCGTTATGGAAACTTCTAGTTGAGTTGGCCATTAGTTAAAGGTAAATTAGGAGGAAACCAAAGATCAAAACACTTACCGGAACCGGACTATGCGGATATATCCTTCTGATGTTTGGTGCCACACTAGATAAGAAACACCCTGGACACGGTATTCCCTATAAATTGTATTTTAGTGTGTCTTCTCCTGAGTTGGTCCTCCTTTGGGTATAATTAATCTAAAAAATATATACAAACGGGTGACAATATCATTATGTCAAAAATACTTTGGAAAATAAAGCAGTTTTAGTTAACATCTACCAACGTGTGAGTAACGACTATTATCTTGATGACATTTGATCAGGTAGAAACTGTTAATAATTAATATACACCTCATTATTAACATAGTCTCTTGTAACTGGGGTGGCTATTAGATTTAGATATATAAGTATAAAAATAATGGTTCTTTAGCGACAATTCAAAAAATAATAATAATAATAAACCACTATCAAGCACAGGTCGGAAACTTTAACATAAATCCGGTTTACAATCTGTTGACTTTCTAATACTTAAAATAATAAATAAGAAAAATTAACCACATAAACTTAACCAAAATTGATTATGAATAACTATAAACTATATATTATCTAAAAAAAATGGACAATAGTGATTTATTAAGGCGTTACTTAAATGTTTAGAGGAAGTTCACTGTTGTGTAAAGGTTTGTTAAAGTGTAGTGAGGAGGCCCTGAGCGGCGTCGTTAACTCATTATTATTTCTCCTTAATGTCTCGTGATAGCAGGTAAGTTAAGGCACATTTACTCACCCTAACTGTGTCGAAGTTGTTAATATGGGTTGATAGTTAAGATAAGATGGAGATATATGGCTGAGGAGGAATGACTGGAACACTTGTGGGGGGGTTTACTGGGTTTGTTAATTCTCGGGAAGTTCCTCTGTTTTGGGGGTATGTCTGTCTGTTTATTTGTTATTTCTGGGTTCAGCTCTTTATCTAGCTTAATATACAATAGACAATATTGCTAAACAGATAGATATACCTTAATCAGTATAGGTATCACAAAAATTCTGACCAAGTCCCAGGTTGGTGATCTGACTTTCTGCCTCATTTACACACAATTGCAGGGTCTCAATTGTTTGTCTCAAATTGATTGATTTTTTTCATTATTGTATATAATTATTATTATTATTATACTTTTTATTTATTTTATTAATTATTATTATTAGTATTATTATTACTATTATTATTATATTTCGCCCTCCAGGCCCTGATGTGGGTCAGTGACTTGTGTCCTGGTGGGCTAATCCCCGTAAAAAAAAAAAAGCTAAAGAGCCTGATATACCATAAACAATATAACTTGACAGCCAGATATACCATAGGGATCTGGATACACTATAGACAGGCGGATATACTGTAGACTACAGAACGAAGGTAATGGTCGACAACAGTGTGTGTGTGTGTTATTATGGGTAAATTTTCACTAATGCACCGGACTTTTTTGGGATATTAAAAAAGTTTTTCCGATGGTATTTGATGGGTTTCGAACGTATTTGATATTCATTTCAGTCAGAAATCAATAGTTTTTGAGATCTCCTCCCCCCCCTACCCATCAATCTTAACGATTTTTTTTCTCGAGTAAATCACATAATAACAAACCAACCTAACCTGACCTAACACTATTTTTCTGACGAAACTCTGCAGTTGATATTAAATATACTCTTATCACAATGTCGGCACAGCTCTTTCCACCTGTTCAGCCATATCTGGTTATTCTGGTACTGAAAAACTTGAGACGCCAACATGGAGGTAAGGAGCACTGTGCGATGTGTGGTCAGACCTTCTCTTTGAGACGTAAACAACAAATGGTGACACTTGTGACCTACCATATATAATAATATTGAAAAATTAATATCTCGGTTACCTTTAATTTCTGGCGGGAATATCACAGAAGAAAAGGATCTTAGAATTGTCTAAACATTACGACAAATGTATTAATAACAGCAAGAGAAAGACTGGTGCATGATTGAAATTTCACCTTATTATGGGACACTTTCGGATTACTTGTAGAAAAAATCTTGATTCTTTCAAATATAACCAAGGTATTATTTTAGTTTTGGTCATCTGGGGAATTGGTTAGGTTAGATTAGGTTAGGGTAGGTTAGTTTGGATATCTAAATACAGGGATGACCGAAACTAAAATTTTACCTCTAACCAAGATGGACTTTGGAGACTCAGTGATGCTTGGTCCTATGAATGTATTTTTGTGTGTTATGAAGCTGAGGAGGTAGAAAAAGTATTTGTGGACATGACCATAATTGCATTAGTTATACCAGGGAAATTTCTGAGTCCCTAACCCATGGAAAATTGATGGGAGAACTCATACTACAGGTAAAGGTGTTTGGGAAGTGTGTTAAGGGTTAATATTGACGACTGACCCGCGGACAAGTTATTTTTTGTACTGTTTACTATCTTACTTTATTTTTATCAGTGAATTCTGATATGATAATCATTTCTTGTGCAAATGCTTTGTTTGGTAGATAATTAGGTACCAAGGCGCACAATATTTTGTCTTCTCGGTGGTGATGTCTCATCCCAGGATGTAAACAGCCAATCATATTGACGTATTTCAAAACACTCCACCGCCTGGGTTTGATCAACACCAATGCTCAGTGTATGCTTAAGAACCTTTCGGTGTGAACGGCTGCTCTCACATCCACAAAAAATGTAAAATTGCACCGTATAGTAAGTTATTTCTGTTTAATATACCGAGGGGCAAAGCTCCCCAGCTGGGAAGTTAGGTAATGTTAGTAGGTTTGTCTAGTTAGGTTGGTGAGGTCTTCTAGCAACACTTCTGCTTGTTTTTCATATCAACTAAGGTTATGTTATGTTTAATTTAGAACTAACCACTTTTTAACACATTTGCACAAACTGCGACAGTGTCCACTATAAAAGACAGTGAAATTGTGGCATTTTCATAATAGTTTTCTATGAAAAATCGGCCGTGGGTCAGTCATCAATAATTACCGTATTAAGTCAAGCAGTCACAAGATTCAGACAATAACATGGTACATATTGGCAAGTCAGCTATTAATGTAAAATTAGTGCTGTTCTCAGACATTACCTTTTTCGTTCATAAAATGTACTAAACTAACCTACCAAGCCTAACCTAACCTAAAGTACCATTGTTACTTTCTACTTTACTCTTAAAAATATAAATTTGAAAGGAATCACCGAAGAGAATGATATATTTGCTCTAAACTGATAAAAAATATTCCTTAAGTAGTAGATATAAATAGCTACTGCCACATTCCAACATGGCTGAAGGGCGGGTTATTAAGATTCAAGACGGGAAAATTCATAAGGGTGATATGTTGCGGAATTTAAAATATTCCTCGTGCATTTTTTTTTCTAGAGGTAAGAAAACTTTTTATCGTCCATGGAGAAATTTCTTCGTGTACAGTACTGTATATAAATATTTTGAAATACATGTAAGAAGGAAGAAAGTATATGCTCTCACCACCTCTACATACGTTAAGTGAAAGAATTGTGTATGAAAGTGTAAACCTGATTAATATTACACTGGATACCAAACCCAGCCAGAATCAGTGAGTGGCAGCAGAGGTAGAGGAGATATAGGACGAGGTAAGCAGAAGGGTACGACAACCTCCTATAATAGCAACTCGGTATAGACTAGATTCACGATACCTACAATAGCCAATCCACGTCTTAACATACATGAGTGACAGTAAAAGATGACAGTGATGTGGTCGGCAGGAATGTTACAGCAATAAGTGATTGGACGGTCGTAAATAATAAGTGTTTGTGTGTTTCCTCCTGCTTCGGTCACCCAGCTGTTCAGTGGGAAAGATGTCAAGATTAAAAATTTTCACATATGTTGATGCTGTGTTCAGACGGTAACATAAGAGATATTTTTATAGTACTGTACAGAACTGTATAGTTCAGTATTAGTTACTTTGATGAATGTTCTAATATATTTGTTCTTCAACCAGGCGCAGGAGGTCCCGGAGTCGGTCCCGAAGTCCAGACCGCAGAAGGTCAAGGTGAGTTATAAACCCCTTTCTTTTGGTAATTTACTATTACTAGTCATACACAGTGTAGGGAATAGCAGCGCTTAGAGCTAAATTTTAGTCACGTTTGCGTAAAAGGTCTGAATGTTCAAATGTATGTGTTTGATTCATACGGCCAATCATTGTTAAATATTTCCATCAACAGATCTCGAGACAGGGAGAGAGATAGAGACAGAGATCGGGGTAGAACCCGACGATCTCGCTCCAGAGACCGTCACAGGTCACGCAGCAGAGATCGGCGACGGTCTAGATCCCGGGACAGACGTTCAAGATCCAGGGACAGGTCCAGGTCACGCGAGAGAGACCGGGACAGGAGGTCAAGGTCCAGAGACAGAGACAGGGACAGGGACAGGAAGAGGAGCAGGAGCAGGTCACGGGACAGGGACAGGAAGAGGAGCAAGAGGAGCAAGTCACACTCTCCTCCCAAGATCAAGCTTTTAACTCACCCCCCCAAGCCTCAGGAGCCAGTACCTGCTGAACCCAAGGATGAGGAGGAGACGGGTCTTGATTTTGATCCCTCCAAAATAGACAAGGTTTTTGAATTTATATATTTATACTGTAATGTTTTTACTCTTGTTTATACCTGTACTGTAAAAAGACCCCTTGTGTGTATACAGTATACTTTAATGTCTATACTGTTAACCCTTAGGCCCCAGGTGATGTTCCAGAACGTCCGCCTATTTTCCCGCCACTTTTATAATATGTGTGTGTGTGTGTGTGTGTATATATATATATATATATATATATATATATATATATATATATATATATATATATATATATATATATATATATATATATATATATATATATATATATATATATATATATACCAATCACACGGGAAAAGGGAAACAATGGAGCACCTTAGCTTTCGTTGTTTCCCTTTTCCCGTGTGATTTTATCAAGATATACAGTCAACCCTCGCTTTACGCGGTCCCACTTTATGAGTCTTCACGTTTACGCGGTACCCTGCCGAACACGGAATGCTCACTTTCCGCGGTGTGTGTACCCTTTTACGCGGAGAGCGGCGCGAGCAGGGTGCGCACAAGGTCGCCCAGTCATCAAAACATTACCGAGTTCTTCACCCGCCACCCACCACAGCCGGCCTAAGTCAGTGATAGTGATAATGATAGTGAGGATATGGACTTGTATGGACTTTGAGGGGTTTAACAAAGAGGCCCTGCAAGCCTCTGTGGTGGATAGTGATACAAGTGATACGGGTGAGGGCCAATAATCTGCCCTCTGCCTCGGAACCAACCCCCCATCCCCGTGTGCCCAGCCATCTTTTCTACTAATGTAAGTGTTAAAAAACCTAATATTATTGATATTTCTCTTAATTATTAATTGTGTGTGCATACCATCATAAAATTAAGAAGTTTTTTTACTACAACTTAGGTATTGTGTCTGAAAAAGTGGAGTTTGGGGGTCGGCCCGGTCTGTATTTCAATTAATCCCATATGTTATGTTGTTCACTTTACGCGTCTCTCACTTTACGCTGGCTGCCGTGGGTTCAATTGACCTCGTGTGTGTGCGGGGGTGGGGGGTGGGTAATGCCAGCAGCACTCTAACCCGGGGCTTAAGGGTTGGAGAAAAATTATACTCAAAATTATAAATAAATCCAGGTATAAATTTAAAGATTGAACTTGATTCATTTCAGAAGTAGCTCTTTAATTGTCTAACCTAACCAGTAAGGCAACAGGAATTCGGACTGACAACATTGCCGTGGTTTTACAGGAAGAGGCAGAAAAACGCCTCGAAGCAGAGATGCAGAAGAGAAGGGAACGTATTGAGAAGTGGAGAGCAGAGAAGAAGAAGCGGGAGTTAGAAGCGGCCAAGAAGGAAGCGGAGAAAGGAACCCTGGGAGCCAACGTTCCCAAAGTCTCCATAAAAGCTTGGAGTCTTGAAGATGATGAAGAAGAGGAGGAAGGAGAGAATAAAGATGGTGACGGGAAACAGGACGAAGTAAGGAGTGCATCTTGAGACACTATATTTTTCTGCATATTTTATTTATTAGCTTAGCTTTTTGCCGTCTGACATATTATGTGTATTTTGTCACCAGCGGTTGGCTCAGTTTGTCTTTCTTTCTCAAATATTTTAGAGTGATGATAGATTTGACTGAACTAGTATACTGTCGGTCACTTCTTTTTCATTCTTTCTACTGTTTATCGGCTTTGGAAGTTACTTGAAGCATACAGTACAATTAACCCCAGCCAGTAAACAGAGTTGGGTTCCTGCACACCCGACACATTATTGATACATGTACAGTACAGTATTGTGAATAATACATTGAGCGTCAACTTGAGTTTTGGATACAGAGTCCCAAATGTTGTCCTACAATTCATTTAAACTCCCTAGAATAATTGACATTTTCATTTTATATATGAACTAAGTTTTTCTGTAAAATATATAGTGATCAGTCTCATTAAAAAAATGGGATCTGAAACAAACATAAAACGTCTGATTAGCCAAAGTCACCTAACTCAAATGATGGTCAGTGTACCTAAGGGAAAATCCTCTCATCTATTGCTACAAATTCTTGTAAATGGAGTTTTTTACTTTAGCATACAGAGTACCGTATGTGGGATTATTAATGTTTTGTACAGAGGAGTGTTGTACAGTATGTCCTTTATGTACATAACGCCACTGTGATTCAATCCGCTGTCTAGTAGCAAATCATAAATGAAAAATCTTATATCTTGGGAAGGATTTAGAGTAGTTCTGTGTTGTGTTTATCATTTAAGATTTTTAACAATTGCTCTCATGCTATTTGATGTAAATCCTTTCAATCTCTCTGTTCTCCCCACCCTCTATGGTCTGCAGGTGGAGGTCACGTTGTATCTGTCTTACCTAACCAAACCACGATCACCTCTGTCCTTCACCTTCTCTCTCTTCTCCTTCCATATCACCATCTCTTGACAGTTTTATACTCGTTATACCTTCGAGCCAAACTCATTTTTTCACTTTTTTTTTTAATCATAATATTTTTTCTCATAAAATATGCTGCAAGACTTATTGTGCAAGTACAGTAAGATAACGAAGTTAGCTAGAATCATATAACTTAACTCTCTAATGTAATGTATATAATTTAAGATCATTTGAAGATTAGGCCTCCAGCTTATTTCACTTAATGCTACTTGGAGGGGTTAGGTTAGATTTGTTGAGTTAGAATAGGTTTGGTTAGGTTGGTTTGGACTAGGTTAAGTTGGGTTAGGTTATGTTAAGTCATGTTGGGTTTCTTGACATGACGTTAGGTTGGGTTAAGTTATGTTAGATTAGCTTCAAGGTATAGTACAGTATTTAGTTATCATGTGAAAGAAGATGCTCCATAGTTTTACCCCAGACATTCTCCTAACATAATTCACCATGAAGACGTTGATGCTTGTTCTTCCTCCTCACCTGTACTGTAATAACATGTTGATGGATGATGTGTCACCACCCCCAGGAAGATGAAGTCGATCCTCTAGATGCCTTCATGTCCGGCATCCAGGAAGAGGTGCGCAAGATTAACCGGGTGGACATTCGGGGAGGTGTGAGAAGAATGCCGAAGTCACACAGTAAGTATTGTAGGTGGTGTGTGTGGGTGTGTGTCTGCATGGTTGGGTGGGTGTGTTTGGTGGTGGTATTTTTATTATTATTATTTTTATTATTTTTTTTGTGTGTGTGTAACCCTATATTATGATAACACCTTACATAACCTAATGTAACCTATCCCTGTACTAATACCATCTAACGTAATCTGGCTTAATTTATTCTAGCCCAACCTAACCTAGCCCTATACTCGTACTGTACTATAACACCTCCTAACCTAATCTAACACTGTACTACTGCATCTTCAGAAAACCAGGAATCAACAGAAAGACTATTGTGACATAAAGTAGGAGGGCTAGTCTTTCACATGATCCTATTTTCCTTTTCTCCTCCTTCTCTCACAGCAATAGGAAATGAAATTATAGGAATGAAGAAGTCGGTTATTATCATGGGTATGGCCAAGAGGGTTAACGCCAAGAAGAAGGGGGAACTGATGGAGCAGAATCAGGATGCATTGGAGTACTCGTCAGAGGAAGAAGGAGAGGATTTGAAGGACACTATGGCAAGCATCAACTCTAAAGGGAAAAAGGTACAGTATATAATATCATCCATTTGTTTTGTTTTTTTCCTAATGTCCGTGTGTTTCACCGGCCATGTACTGTCAAATATTTTGTTTTTGTTTTGCAGTTTGTTTTATTTTATTTTTTCTGTTTATACAAGTTGCTGGAATATATTGGCCAGATTTCATTTTGTGGAGGATGGCACTTAAAAAATATCTTAATTTTCTTTTAATATTAAGTACTGTACTGTATCCTCCTGTTGCACCATAAAGCACTATCTAATGTAAATTTTTATCTTTCATTTTAGGAGTTAGTGAAAGTCGATCACACAACTATCGACTACGTGCCCTTCAGAAAGGACTTCTACGTGGAAGTGCCAGAGATTGCCAACCTAAGCAAGGAAGATGTTGACGCATACAGGTAATGTTCCAGGCACCCCCTCTGCTGGTCTCTGCCTGTAGGTGTACATATTCGAACACCTAATGTATAGCTGTGTATAGCTTGGGAGTAGTAAAGTTGGACAGTCTGTGAATTTTATGGGAATTTAGAGATATAACAAGGAATGACATACAGTGAAGAATATGTGGGATTGAAAAATGTTAGGCGAGTTGAATGGATAAGAGAGAAGCAGAAGGGGGTGGTGGTAGGGAGTATGGAGTGTGTGACCACAAATGAGACCTTTCATAATTCTAGCTTCTAAGGATCACCTGAAGATTAGTCTCCAGATACTGTTAGTTTTGGGTTAGGTTATGTTAGGTTAGTTTAGCATTAGGATGTTTAATCTTTGGTGAAATAAGCTGGGGAGGGTAATCTTCAGGTGATTCAGTGCAAGAACTTACTGTTATAAATGTCCTGTACTGACACTATCAAGGAAAATTTTAATAGTACTAACCATTCTTAGATTTAGATTTTTTCCCTTTTATTAAAATGTTGTATCTTATATTACACCTGAGAGCTCTATCACATAGTTACTGTGTTTATTATCCTGGCAGAGCTGAGCTGGAGGGCATCAAGGTGAAAGGTCAAGGATGCCCTAAACCTATCAAGACCTGGGCCCAGTGTGGAGTGAGTAAGAGGATCCTGGATGTACTAAAAAAGAGTAATTATGAAAAACCAACACCCATTCAAGTACAGGTAAGACTGTCTACCCACTTTATTATATATTGTCTTCATTTTGATGTATCCAGTACAGTATGTGTTGTTTTTGTGGTAAGAATGAAGGTTTAGTTCATAACTTTAATGTGTAGTCTTTACAGCAGTCATACCTTTTTTAGTGCCTTAGAGTGCATTCCAAGCAGGTCCATTTTTTATATACAGTACAAGTGCCTGATTTAGGTGTTAGCAATAGTACTAATATTAATTTTGCAAATGTGATAAGTGTATGAGTATATTCTACGAAACATTGTTCAAAGAGTCGGTGCTATAAGAGTTACAGTCTCAAAATAACGTAATCTTGGTTCATTTAATGGTTGTGATCTTCGTCCTAAACATGAGTTGCTTAATCCTTTTTTATTTACAAAATAATATATATTGCGATTAATTCTCCTTATTTCATTATCAGGCTATTCCGGCCATCATGAAGGGCAGGGATGTTATAGGCATTGCCAAGACGGGATCGGGGAAGACTCTGGCTTTCCTCCTTCCTATGTTCCGCCACATCGTGGACCAGCAGCCCCTGGAAGACACAGATGGCCCTATTGCTATCATCATGACCCCCACAAGAGAACTATGCATGCAGATTGGTAAGTACTCTACTAATTGATAACTTTTACTGCTTCTCTCATTGACTACAACACTATAGGAATCACTGTCTTGGTTGCTGCATTTTTGTTTTTTGTTCTTACTGTATACAAATGATATGACCACCAATGCTTTTAGATGGTTATAAAATATAATGTAAAACTAATTCAAGAATTCTTATAGAAACTACTTGATGACAGACAACACAAAGATAGACGACTTTAGTGTAACATCTATGCTCAGTGAAATACTATACTATTAGTCCTTGACGTTAAGAGGTGTTACTGATCCCCCATGTCTCACTCTTTGTAAATAAATAAATACATAGATACATACATAACTGTACAGTGCATGCATATTCATCGATAACGAAATTGATTTAGTATTGTACTCACTAAACTCGGTTGTATGTCGATTATTGTACATTTAATTAACATTGAACTAACACTATTTGAATGATGATATGGGCAGATTACTTTCTCTTCCCAGAAATAACTAGATACAATCAGCTGGGAAGGTATGTAGCCAAGGTTTGTAGTCATTGCTTTGTAAGATGGGGTAAATAATTATGATCTTTTGTAGTGTACACACACACACAATGTCAGTAATGAACCCATGAAATTAATCAGTAAAGGCCGGCCCAGTTGTTTGAAAATTACACTGCATTTCTCTATTATTTTTTTTGTTTTTGTTTTTTTACATGGACAAAATGGTTTTTATGGTATCTTTATGGTACAGCATTTTCATAACTTATATTACCACAATTCATTATATACAGAATGGAGGTAGAATATTGGAATTTTTAGTCTTAAGAAAATAAGTTAGGTATTACATATGTAGGAATCTCCGGTCGAGTGATTAGTCATAAAATGGAGGAATTACTATATTTCGCATCTCACTGTTGATAGTTTTTATTTCCTACTGGCATAATTGTATTAATGCACAAAGAGTCTAGTATAATTACTCTATGTTAAAAATGTATTTAAGTTATTGGTATTGATATATTAACATTTATTTAGCCAGAAAAATAGAGATACATGTACAAATTGAACAATAAAAACAATAGTGGCTTGGTGTTTTTAGTGACAATGTTAACTCTCTCAACAGGTAAAGAATGTAAGAAATTTGCCAAAAACAACCTGAAAGTTTGTTGCGTCTATGGCGGTACAGGAATCTCAGAACAGATAGCTGAACTTAAACGTGGAGCAGAAATTATCGTGTGTACTCCGGGCCGGATGATCGACATGCTGGCGGCCAACGGTGGACGCGTCACCAACCTCCGCAGAGTGACTTACGTAGTGCTGGACGAAGCTGATCGCATGTTTGACCTGGGATTTGAGCCTCAGGTTTGTGTAGATAAGATAACATACATAAATCACGTGTTTGGTGGTGTCTTGTGGGATAATGTCAATCCTGATGCCAAGACTATGAGTGATTTAATGATTCTAATTATGTCATTAGAGTACTGTACCGTAATGGATATAGTAAACCCCTCTCAATAACAGACTACTCAATACCAGATATTCTCCATAACAGAATCCTCCCAATAAGAGACAGGGTTTACAAGAATTATACCGCTGTCTGGTAATAGGAGGGTTTACCGTTACTGTACGTGTTTCCTCGACACTCAAGTTTCCATAACAGCGGCTTCTATATAGCTACTATGAACATTACTTATAGAATACACAAATACTCTTAAACATTTTTTAATATATTGTGTAGTATTGTACTGCACTGTATAGATTGATTGATTGTGGTAATAACATCCCTGATGGTGTAGTACTTTATAGAGGTTGCACAAATTATATCATTCAGTTTTTCTGATATGTAACTTTTTTTTTCTTCAGGTAATGAGAATAATTGACAATATACAACCCGCCCGTCAGACTGTCATGTTCTCGGCCACCTTCCCACGCCAGGTAGAAGCTCTGGCCAAGAAGATCCTCACAAAACCTATTGAAATTATGGTAAGTTGTGAAACGAATTGGCATAATTATCTCATGGTGGAAATTTACAAGCTCTTTGTATTTCTAACCTGTACTTAAGTCATAAATCTCACAGTATGTAAACTACTAGTGTGACTACTATTGTGGGTATACTGGGGCCTGTGGCTTGTAAAGATGCATGACTGCAACAGAGGAGGTGTGTGTGCGCGTTGACCCTGTTTTTTTTTTTTTTTTTTTTTTTTTTAGATACAGCATGCCCGGATAATTCGTGGATTTTTATTTCGCGGTTCTCTATTATTCGCGGATAACACCCTGGATGTACCCAAATATGTCTGTGGGTGTCACTCTTGTGATACAAATATGATATATAATAACTAAGTGGGGAGAAGGTTATATTACAGGGCATTTCAACATAGTGACAGTGCAAAAAGGTAAGATTGAGTGCAAAAAGGTAAGATTGTTTGGGAGTGAATACAGTACATTGGTTGATTACGAGTTGATAATTTTTACAATGGTTGGGACTGGGCTGTTCTTATAGTATGTGCTTGTGTGTGTTTGTCTATACACACACATGCAATACTGTACAGTACAGGTAAAAGAAATAATTGTCCTAAGGGAATACACATAAAGGGATTATACATTTCTTTGCATACAAGTAAAAATGTACCCCCCACCCTGGTCAGCAAATGTTATTCGCGGATTTGGCTATTCGCGGCCATTTTGAGAACCCAATCTTTAATATTTACGGTGTACATTGCTAACTTTTAGGTAACATTTAATTTGCCAATCCGCACACACTCCAGTGAACTTGGGTACAAAACATAGGTAGTCAGCATACACCCAACACCTTCCACTGTTTCATATCATAGAATTCACTGGAAAATACCCCATGAGCTGTAAAGTACTGTGAGGTCCTGCTATATCATGTTAATGTACCATGAAATTTTCTGTGACGTAATGAACTGCATTACTTGTAAACCTTGACCATACTGAGACCTCTGTGCTGGCGGTCCTTAAACTTTTGCCTGCAAATAAATGTTGGTACAGCATTTTAAGTATATTTTTGGTAATGTTATGGAGCCCTGGAATGTAACCCCATTTTCACCATGTTTACAATCTTAGAGTTGTGTGTGTAGGAATATATACTGTACTTGAGTACCACATGTTGGGTGGCAAATACTGTACTGTACATTGTGGAAGGGTAAGACTAGCAGAACACAGTTACAGAGAAGGCATGACAGTGAATAAAGCGAGGTGTGTAATAATAATAAACGTTTTATAAATAGAGTTGCAGTCGGTGGCTGAAAATATACAAACTTACATGTGATTTAGACATAATAATACTGTATACGTTCAATACATTTACAGGGCTGTTTATTATTTTAACAATAGATGGGATGATGCTATTCTTATATCTATCAGTGCGGGCTCTTATGGTCTGATTTTGTTGTAGTGGCGGACTGCGTGAGGTGGGCGGAGTACTGCAGGTGGCAATAAGTGGCGATGACGAGGATGGTGCAGTAGTCCACTACCAAACCTTGATAGTGCGTGGTGGTGGAGGTCACTGAGGGATGGCATTTCCATGGTGGAGAGAGCGTTGTTGTAGCCGGAGTAGTCTGCGCCGAGCATGATTCTGTAGGCCGTCTTCTGTACCGTCTAGCTGACGTTGTTGGGTAGAGTTGAGAGAAGACGACCAGGCTGGTGACGCATACGTTAATTTTGGGAGTATAAATGCGTTGTAGATAATCCTCAGCTCTGGCGTGGGTGCCCCAATTGACCCGAGTCATCTTGGCATGTAGAGTCAGTACGAAGCTGCCTTGATAGTGTTGTTTACATGGGCCTTCCAGTCCAGTTTGTGGTCTATAGTTACACCCAGGAGTTTGGTAGACTGCACTAGCTGTGTGTGTGCTGTACTGTATTGTACTTACTGTACTGTTCTGTACTATTATGTCAGTCACCCAGAATGATACTGTTAAGAGTCTTGCCAGAGAGAAATAAAAAAGAATGATTTGTTACATTGCTTCATTACTGTACAGTACTGAATAATATTGCATCATTCGTCTTTGTCCAGGTTGGAGGAAGATCTGTAGTGTGCAAGGATGTGACACAGGCAGTAGTTATTCTTGACGAAGACCAGAAGTTCCTCAAGCTGCTTGAGATCCTTGGTCAGTATTACGAGCGCGGCCAGATCATCATATTTGTGGACAAGCAGGAAAATGCGGACTCATTATTTAAGGTGAGTATATATATATCTATATATATATATATATATATATATATATATATATATATATATATATATATATATATATATATATATATATATATATATATATATATATATATATATATATATATATATATATTTATTTATTTATTTATTTATTTATTTATTTATTTATTTTAACACTCACTGGCTATTAGATGTGAGGCACTTTAGGCAAGAATAACACGAACAATGAAGTGCCTTGTCATGTGATTACCTGTATTATACCAGTATAGTACTGTATACATGTTACAGTACATGTATTAATAAACTTGGAGTGCGTGTTCTGGCTGTTTCCACTCCACTGCAGGTACTCTCTATTTAAATTTTGGTGGCCAGATTGAAAGTTAAAGCCTGGGAAATTTTAACACAATTAAAAGCAGATTTTCTAGTGGAAGGTGAGTTTGTCTGTGCTGTGCTAGATGCCTCAATTGATTTAAATGGAAATATGTAATTAGTTAGGTTCCAGACAAAAATAGGAAAAGAAAATGAAAGGTAGAAAATTTTTGAGAGCATCAGCATTTGGTAGACTTATAAGTTTTGGAGTGAGTGGTGGAGCACTAAGAGAGAGGCTGTGTAGAGCATGTGACCAGGGGAAAGTCACCATCTGCAGGAGAGGAGGAGGAGGCTGGGTACTTCTCTTACTCCTGTAGTGATTGTCCTTTACTGTACTGGGTGTGTTGGCCATCATGATCTAAGTGACTGTGTGCTCTTTATTATTTATTTGATAGACAAATAAAACGCAGAACTTTGGCTCATTAATGTGACATCATGCTTTTTCTTAATAGGACATGTTGTCTCAGGCTCTTACATATGAAATCGTGATATATTGTTTCTCTCTTGGCCAGGACCTACTCAGTCACTCATACAGGGCACTTGTGCTGCATGGAGGCGTTGACCAGATAGACAGAGACAGTACAATCTTGGACTTTAAAGCTGGAAGAGTGCCAATCCTGGTAGCCACGTCTGTTGCAGCGCGTGGCCTAGACGTCAAGCAACTAATTCTTGTGGTCAATTTTGACTGTCCTAATCATTATGAAGATTATGTTCATAGGTAAATATGATGTGTTTCTCATTCTTTTATTCTCTCTTGCCCACCATTGCTGCTGGGGTGATCTGCACCAAGTGTGACACATTTCTCCCATTATTTGTTTTCTCTGTTTACCTGTATGGGATCACTTCATATTCCTTGCTAGTCATATACTACATAAGGATGACCTGTTTTTGTAAGACTGATAAATATATAATTATTTACCATTATACTGATATTGAGTTAAATATCTGGTGTTATTAGAGGAAACTAACTGTCCTAATTTGTGTATTGCTTCCTGCTGTCCTGTAGTGTGGTCTATACTCGACTCATTCAATCTCCTTCCCACTATTCATTTTTTCTTTTGTTTTGAGTGGTTTAGGGGACACAGAATGGGATGACTGGGGAGGGAAACACCTTAACGTGCCGTTCTTAATCTCAGGTGTGGCCGTACTGGTCGTGCAGGTAATAAGGGTTGGGCATATACCTTCCTGACTCAAGACCAACCTCGCTACGGTGGTGAACTCATCCGTGCTATGGAACTGTCAGACACTCCCGTCCCTCCAGATCTTCAGGTATGTCTTGCTGTTTCATTACTGGTAAAGTTAGGTATTAATTGATCTCTTTATTTTGGAAGGTTGAAGATGTACACTTTGAATGGGACTTGTGATTTAGAGACATGGTCTTAGTGTTGTTGCAAGTTGATACGAAGAATAAAGATGTGGAATTATGTGAATTAATGTAGAGGCCTGGGGGCTACTTGTATACCATACTCCATTTATAAATTAAGAATATGAATTGTGTGTGTGTGTGTTTTTTTTGAAAAAGCATGACAGCCGGAAGGCTGAAAATATACAATTACATAATTGGGGAATGGGTCTCTTGATTTACAAATAATATACAAGTGACATAAGTGATACAAATATGATATGTAATAACTTGGTGGGGAGAAGCTCAAACTACAGGGCATTTCAACATATCGGTAGTGACAGTGCAAAAAGTAAGATTGACTGGGAGTGAATATACTGTTGATTAAAAGTTATTTATAATTTTTACAATGGTTGGGACTAGGCTGTTCTTATAGTGATCAGTTCGTGTGTGTGTCATTCTTAGCAATTTTTTGAGTCCTTGCACATCTATGCCTTATTTTCTCCATTTTTTTTTTAAGTTATTGCTGCCCCTGAAACCCTCCCCCCCCCACACACACATCTTGGAATAGAGTAAAGATAATAACATTGTTGATGTAATGAGTGTAGGTGGAGTGTATATAATAATCTTTTTCTAAATTGTTTATTCTTTTGTCATTTAAAGAAATTCTATGATGAATACAAACACAAAATGGAGGGAGAAGGCAAGAAGGTGAAAACTGGAGGAGGTTTCCACGGCAAGGGCTACAAGTTCGACGAATCTGAGGCGAACTTTGCCTCGGAGAAGAAGAAGTTCGAGAAGGCTGCGCTGGGCCTGGCCGACTCTGATGACGAGGACATAGAACAGGACATTGACCAGCAGATAGAGAGTATGCTTAACACAAAGAGGACGGTCAAGGAGATCAAGGTGGTTAGTTGTGTTCATTAGCATTTTCCTTTGTTCCTCGGGTGCTTGCTTGGCGCGTGTTCTCCTTCCTCTGCCTTGTGTAGTGAGTTGCTCAAGATCACGTCGTTCAGTGTGGAGATGAAAGGTGACACATATTGTTCTGTATTTTGAAGACGCTGTGAAGCACTTGCGCTGTAATGTATGTATGTCTGTTGTATGCATGTAGCAGTTGTTATATTGATGCATTTTTGTCTCCCCTTTATATCTATTAGTCGAGTTGTTAACCTTGTGTCTGAGGATTAGCAACCACGACGCTCTAACTTTCCTCTCTAAATGTGTTCTTTTTTTCTTCTTTTTTTCATTCCTTCTATTTTTTATTTCACTGGAGTCTTGACTTTTGATATCATTCATTCATACATCCTGGCATGTGTCTTCTCCTGTCCTTCCCTCCTTCAGTTTTATCCATTTTCCTTCATCTTCCTTTCATCCTTGGTATTTCTCTCATTCTCATCTTTAGTGTATTTTAGTGCTTTCTATCCATGTAAGCTGACTTTAGCATTGTTCCACTAGCACCTATATGTTTTCAAAGCCTCTTGGTGTTTACTCTAAGTGTCTATAGTTCTGTACTGTACCTCTTGACCCGTACAGCATTGCTGAGTCTGACTATGCTTTGCACACGTCACCTGTCTCTTTCTTAACGTGAAATTAATGGTCCTTTTATTTGTACACATCTCTATATGATTAGTTAATGCATCTCTTATGATTATTTTGACATACAGTAGAACATCGATAAATTGGACTAATTGGAGCTGACCCCAGTCCGAAAAAAGTGACTGCTTATCTGAACTGTTTAAAGAAAATCAGTTGATGTTATGGTATTACTGCACTTCAACAACTAAGGTCTTTAAGTGTATAACAATGTTATTAAAAGAATATTACATCAACAATAAAAAGTAAATATGAAACAGAACTCTCTGGGTTGAAAATCAGAAATATAAGTCTGGTTGTCAACAACTGTTGTCACCGAGATGATTGTTATTTACTGTCAAGTGTTATATGTAAGTAACCACAGAATTTGTCTTATGAATAAAAGGAAAACTGTATACAGTACAGTACTATAAAGATAAAAATAAGAAAAAATAAGTGTAGGAGCATTTTGTATGTGGAAGATGAGTGTTTATCTGGGAGCAGAGGGGAGGAGAGAGGGTAGCACAGGTGGGTACTCCCTCCCCCAAGATTCCTTTAACACTTCTTTATGGAATTTCACCATCATTTTCATAATTTAGGATCATTTGGTGCCAGGTTGATAAAATATTATCCTTAAAGAATCCGCTTTCCTGAAAAAAGAATCCCACACTGAAATGAGTCATTTGTTTACAAAGAGCAAACAGTTGATTGGCTTACCACAATGTTTGTCTTCAACACTTAGTAAATTAGTACAATATTTATCATCACTTAATACTATTGCAGTGTATTTATCACCACATAATAAATACTATCATTGTGTATTTATCATCACTTAATAAGTAATATTGTAGTGTACAGTACTATGCATCTGCATATACCCTTGTTTATTCATTAAACATTTGTCTAAGTGTACAAGTAGCCAAGTGGAGCCAACATATGACACTCAAAGGGAGTAAATAATCTTCTTAGGACGGTCTCTTCATATCAAATACTATACCGTACAGTGTGTTATAGTGACCCCTGTTGTTAGCTGGTCGTCTGCTGAAAGCTCTCACAATAATGCATCTTTAGTAAATAAACCTGATACAGCTTATTTTTCTGTATTTTCAAAAGTCATATTACAAATTCCATACAGTATTGTATTTTTTATCCATTACTGAAGATGTTATATTTATCATGATGAACCATAAACCATAAGAGGCCAATCATATGAGAATATAACACTGAATCAATAAATAAATAAACCTGACGAATGCAACAACACCTGATCAGCCCCAGCCTGCTTACTTACTCAATTGTCTTAGTTCTCAGTAGGCCTATAGCAAATCTCATTAAACCGCTGTACAGTGTTCAATGAGTGTTGTTCATTTCATAAGATTTTTTGTTATCTTCCCCATTTCTTAAAACATGTATTTTTTATTTATTTTTTTTAATGTTTCTAGTGACCAGAGCATCTTGGTCTGAAAAAAGAGAATTCCGATATATTGAAGTCCGGTTTATCGAGGTTTTATTGTGTCTTTATGATTATTTGGATGTATTTCTTATGATTAATTTGACATACCTCTTATTATTAGTGAACACATCTCTTATGACTATTATATGTTTTTGTTTTTTTACCATTCATGTTTTAATTTCTTCTTCACATCCACCACCACACATTTACTTACATTCCAAATACAATTATTTTTTTCTTCAGATTATTATTGTTCTCTGTTCTCCACCATAATTGTTATTTTAGGATTGGTTTAAGAACATAAGTTTCTCTTAACTTGGGAACAATCATTGCATCTGTATTTACCGTATTAACTTTCAAGTTCATGTTACATAATTTTTTCTCTCTCCACTAATCTGTTCACCAGTTTATTGTAAATGAGTTTTGCTATCACTGCTAGTACTTCTTCAAACACCTTAGTTAACTGTTCGTCGTAAATTGTACGAAATAGATAAAAGGTTATTTATTATATATTTTAAAGGAACCATTATTCAAGAGTGTATTTGATGAGATTGTAGATATTTTATTTTTATTTATTTATTTATTTTATTTTTGTATTATTTTTGAGGGTATTTGATATGTTACAGACTCCCGAGGTGTCGTCAGCCCCTGGAGATGGCCTGTCTGGGATTCCCATGGGCGGTCCTTCTGCCTCCGACAAGCTGGAGTTGGCTCGTAAGTTGGCCCAACGCATCAATCTTCAACATAATATCGGCAAGGAGGCCAAGGGCGCCAGTCAACAAGCTGCCGAGTTTATCCTGAAGGGCGGAGCAGCCATGCAACCGACCATATCAGCCAAGACAGTAGCAGAACAGGTATAGCCCTCCCCCCACCCCCAAACACCTCCCCACCCCCAAACACCCTCCCCCACCCCCAAACACCCCTCCCCACCCCCAACACCCCCCCCAAACACCCTCCCCAAACACCCTCCCCCATCCCCCAAGCACCTCCCCCAAACCCCCTCAAACACCCCTCTCCCCCCACCCTCAACCCCTCCCCACCCCTCAAAACACCCTCCCCACCCCTCAAACACCCTCCCCCACCCCTCAAACACCCCTCCCTCCACCCCTCCCACCCCCTCCCTCCACCCCTCCCATGGATGTGTCTCTTGTTTGGTGTTAGAGTTATTTTTCCTATTTTATTTTTATTTTTGTTTTTATTATTTGAGAACCCTAAATTACTGACTATATTTTAGGTTAGGAAGTGCAGTAAACAGGAAAATGTAAAAATCAGTAGTCATGTGTAGTCTGATCTTTGCAAAGGACATTTATGATTTTTTTTTTTTTTTTTACCTTGCATTATATGATTTTAGTCTGAGTCTTTATTTTAATCCGACGACATATGACCTAAGCTGTTGCGTTGGCAGGGATGTAACTACCACAGTCAATCATTCAATTATGATTTTTAGGTTTCTGTTTATTGCTTGTCCTAAACTGTAGTACTGTATTGTAATCATTTAGGGTTCTCGAATATATAAGCAAAAAAATAAATAAAACAAAGACCCTGAATTTCTTTCCACTTTGTTTCAATTAGTTCATATACAGATTATTTCAGATTGTGTATTATTTGACTCTTTTCTTCAGGTAGACGTTCTCAGTATGTATAAACGCTTTTTTTAGTAGTGAGACCAAATAAGATCCAAGATTGGTTATGATGACCAGTATTTTTACCCAACATATATTTTTACTGGGTTAGGACTGACACTGACTAGTAGACGAATGAGGTATGATTTATCGTCTACTTGCCAGTGATAGAAGGAGGAGGGACCAGTGCGCACACACACATTTCTTTCATTAAAATCTCTACAGGACATTAACCCTTTGTTTACTCCCAGATGGCACAAAAACTGAACAACAAGTTAAACTACCAACCAAGAGACGACCAGGAGGAGGAGGAGGAGGCTACGGAGGAAACCCACCACAAGTACGAGGAGGAACTGGAGATCAACGACTTCCCACAGCAGGCGAGGTGAGCTGGGCGGGCATCACAGACCGTGCAACACAACACACCTTTACTATTCTATACTAAGTGATCTCTGGCTTCTCTATGCAGTACTTGTGAGATGACCTGAAGATAACACCCAGCATATATTACCAGAAGATTAACCACTGTAATGCTAGGTGGTTAGGTTAGATTACTACAAAGTTAGCTAATCTTTAAGGTGAAATAAGCTTGGTGGTTATGTTAGATTAGATAATGTTACCATAAGAGTGATTAGTCTTAAGGTGAAATAAACTGTGGGTATGGTGGGTGAATCTTCAGGTCATCTCATTTGTTAGTGTATCAAGGAGAGTTGAGGAATTGTTGAGTCAATGTCCAGGATTCTGTACCAAATGTTTCAAGTCTTCGTGATAGTTTCATCTCTATAGTGTTTCTTATGTACACTGTAATGGAACTGAAGGGCGTTGGAACCTCTCACAGTTTTTGAAGAAGGGGAAATAGGACACTAGAGAGGTTAGGTTAGGTTAGGTTACCATAAGTGTGGTTCATCTTGAGATGAAATAAGATAGGGTTATGTTAGGTTACTACAAGGTGGTTAATATTAGGGGAAGATATTAGGTGTTATTATTTAAGATCTTACTGTTAATCAGGGAAATGGTTTTAGTGTGGTAGTACAGTGCTTTTTTAACAGGTATAGGGTGTTGTAAACATTCATTAAATATTCAGTATTTCATAACTATACTTCGGCTATGTTTATTTCTTCTGTACTTTATTAATGGAGATACAGAAATGCAACAAAACTTTATTATTTAATAACTACAGAACTGTACTTTCAGATTGATATTGGTATTTTATGATTATTTTTGGGGGGTCTACAGGGTAGTAAATTGTGCATACTGTATTAAAATTTTATAGAAGTATGTATGTATTTGGACACAATAATTTTCTGATATTTTATTTTAATTTAACTTTAAATTTTCACCACTTTTGCTCAAATGTGAGGAATTAGGTCAGCCATTTTTTTGGCTATATTCCAATACTGTACTTCTTTATCTGGAAAATGGAAACTAACATTATGAAATAGTAAAGCCAGTCTTTATTCATGGTAAAACAATTAAAACCCTGATTTTAAACTTACAGTACAGGCATCGCATAATTTGCATTTTAAAAACCCATTTAGTTAGTGGTGTTTGGGCAGTTTATGTCAAGATAGGCTGGGCCAGTATCACCCCAATACCCACTCACACCTCATGCCCACAATCCCTTTAGCTTCAGATTCACCCTCCACCTCTCTTCCAGTTTATAGTGTTTAATGGGTACAGTCTCTTATCATTTTGCAGAGATTGCCCAAACTTGCACACTCACTGTTGATTTACAGCAAAACCTATGTTGTTGCTCGTAACATTTGCATATTTTTGCCTTGTTTCTGATCTTTGCTCTTATTTCAGGTGGCGTGTTACTAGTAAGGAAGCCTTGGCCCAAATTTCTGAATATTCTGAGGCTGGAATCACTGTCAGAGGAACATTCTGCCCTGCAGTAAGTACAGTGCCTGTTGATTGTCCCTGCTATTACAGTGTGTGTATAAAGTACAGGGCCCTGCGTGTGTGCATATATATATATATATATTAGCAGAGTATTGGCCATTTCTTAGTATATCAGTATCGGCTGAGTATCGGCCATTTATAAGTGCTGTACAGTGTCGGGGTATCGGTATCTGCCAAATATTGATATCGATTCATCTCTAGTCATTATTGAATTAGGAGTGTTTACGAACTATAGGAGGATGCATACAATTAAAATAAGAAATATCTTAAAGTAACCCACATTTACCTCTACTGTATATTAACTCTAGTTTTATTTGTAAAGAGGGAAGACTTATATTTTTAACACAAATCTTTGATCAAGTCACAGTTACGACTCTTGGTCATTATATGTACTGTATGATTTAATTTCACTGTCGGTGCTTAGCTGACACTCTATGTCAATACAAACTTTTTTCTTTTTTTCAGGGTAAAAATCCACCAGAGGGGGAACGCAAGCTGTTCTTGGCTATTGAATCTACATCTGAGTTAGCTGTGTCAAAGGCAAAGGCTGAAATTATTCGACTTATAAGAGAAGAACTTGTAAAACTTAGGACGAGTGCTGGTCCTGTTAAGGCCCAGGGCAGATACAAAGTTCTTTAGTAAGGAATATGCCTTTAACATGTCAGTAAAGTGTATATTATAGCATATGAGCATTTGTATAGATGTGAAAACTTACTGTCGGAGTGACAGAAGAGTCTACTTTCTTTTATCTTGACTAGTAAATGGTGCACTCTACTCGTACATCTGTCCCTCACTTTGCATGATGTGTTTTGAACAAGACCTTGCAAAGTGAAACCATTTTTACAGTTAGAGGGGGTTATGTTTTGAACCCAATATTGTCACTTCTGTATCACAGATGCATTACTAAAATTCATATTTATTAGCCCAGTGAAAAAGTTTACAAAATAAAACATAAATAGTGTTTTCACAAGTACTGTATGACTCTTAGAACCCACTATAGCTGTTGGTGTAGGGAGAAGGTGGAGCATTAGGTGAAGAGTTATCTGCACCAGACTTCACAGCACTAATAAGGTGAGGCAGCAGCATGTCAAGTGGAGATGAAGGTAGCTCCAGGTGGCGAGCTGGGCTTGAAAGCTCTCGGGACCTAATAGGGCTAATACGGTCTGGGGAGGTAGCAGGGGTGGTGGCATCAAGAGTTGAGATGATGAACTTGAAAAATTTGGTGGCTGTGAACTGCCTGGATGTACTCTGCTTCTTATAGATAGCCAAGGTGCTCATCAGTTTTAGGTTTGGGTCTTTATCCAAAGCCACTTAGGCTAGCTGGTCAGCATGTGTGAAGAACTCTTGATAGCTTATTGATGTTCAGCTCAGCATTTGATGGTCTCCTTTCTTGTCTCAGTAGGTGCTTCTACAACTTCACTCTCACCCAAGCATACCTGAAGATGATTCCTCTGTCTTTGATTCTGATTCTTTACCCATACTTAAAACATCTTTTCCATCTTCAGGAGTTGGTTCCTCAGTTAACATTTTCCTCACAGTTATTAATGTTGACTAGGCTAATGTACTTTTCACGTCCTCGTTTCTTCTAATCCTACTTACACTTGAGTTGTTGACTATACTGTACTGTATAGGCATGGCATATGCAAGTAATGCCATTATTTCCTTACATACAAGTTAAGTTATTTTTAACTTGGATTACAGTTTAAATATTGAGTTGATTTCCTGTGCTTGGAGTATCTTGCTGAAGAGGAGTATTGGTAGGATATTTAGGTTGTCATAATGAAAGTGCTGTAAGTAGAATATATGTGAGCAGTTGTGTCGGTGAGTGAGACTAGCTTATGCTGTAAACAATGTGGTGGGCAGCATTTGGTGCAGGCATGCATTGTACCTTTGGCACTTGTGTTTCCACTAATCAGTGTGCCTCCACAACACTTGGCTTGTTATGTTAATTGAATTTAGTGTTAGCCAATCCACAGACCATGGTCATTCAACCTGTTTACTTAGAAAACATTCCTGTATAATGCAAATTTTTATGTAGAAGAATAAAGCAATGGTGAAAGTATACAAAGTGAGGGACCTGTGTATCTAGCATACAGGTTCAAGTTTATCAGGTAACATTAATACTTGAGGCCCAGTAGAAACAACAGGCCTAATTTTTAAGAATTAATTTCAAATCCGTTTTACATACACTTGCTATTATGGCTTCACTTGCTGTTGACATTGGTTGAAGTAAATACAGGTATCCCTCGCTATACAAACGTTAGAGATACGAAAATTCACTTTCCTAATTTCCTAAATTACCAACACTCGTGTTATGAGAGCTTCCCCTGCTTATACAAATTTTGGTCTCGGCAAAAATTCAATTCGCGCTTCCCCGTGAGTCAACTGGGGCAGCTACATCCCCCTAGCACTCTCGCTACCAGGCTGAAGTAGGAGTTATTGTAATTTTTCAACTCGTAATTTTGGGTATACGTACATTATAAATAAAATTATTTTCATATTTTTTTTTTATTCATTTACATGCACATTCAATCCTACAAATATAATGTGCAAAAAAATTTTAAAATAATTATCCCAAGGTCAAAAACATAAAGAGAATAATCATTTCTTTGTGTGCCAGCAAGAGTGAGCAGGGTGAGCTGGGGGAGTTATGTTATGGTTATTATTCAACCCGTAAATTTGCATATACAGTCTCTCCTCGACTTACGACGAGGTTCCGTCCCGACGACCAGGTCGTAAGTCAATAAGGCGAAAATAATAGATAGAAATTCTAAAATGGGTGTCTCTTTTTCTTCTCAGCACCAAGAGAACTCTCACTTTTATGCTTGCCAGCCATTTTAAAGGGAACTAAAAAAAAAAATTGCCAGTTCACAGCACGATCACTGACGTCGGGACTCGAAAATACGTAATGTGAAAAATATTTTATACGAACATGGCTGTTGTATGTCTGGGTTGTCGTAAGTCGAATATGCCTTAAGTCGAGGAGAGAGTGTACTATAAACTTCGTTTCATCACTTTTTTTATTTTAGTTTTAGGTTTTTTTATTAGTCGCATTCACACACAATCCTACATACATAATATGCAAAAAAGTAAAAGAAATAACTATCATAAGGTAAAAAAAAATAAGGGAATAAACATTTCTTTGCAGTGTATGTGTGTGAGCGTTGCAAAGGGTCAGGAGGGGGAGAGTCCCCAGCAGGGCTAGGTTGCTATGGCGAGGCTTGAGGGCAATAGTGCGGCCTCGTGTGGCACAGCCAACGTATATACAAATGGTGGCTGTGTTAAACTTTGATATAGCTTTTCCTTAATGGTTTTTATCTCATAATTTCATCTATAGTTGGTATTTTATTAATGTTAAGTAGTAGTAGGTAGTAAATTACAGTAATTGTGTCCTACTTAGGTTTTTCTTTTTGTTTGTGGACCTATTTTGTGTTTTTCTTGTTTGTGGACCTATTTTGTGTTTTTCTTTCTTGTTTGTGGACCGATTTTGTGTTTTTTAGGTATGATATTGGGGTATTTTTGTCATTTGCGAACTGAACCCTATTATTCCCATTTGTTCTGTTATTCGAGATACACAAATTCACTTAACGAATTATTTTTTGGGGCAACTTAACCCATTCGTATATCGAGGGATACCTGTAGTAGGAAAAGGAATATCAAAATATGTGTTCCAGGCTTTGATTAGTAACGCTGCACATTGTGTAATACAGTATGTGTTTTACAAGGTTTCAAAGGGAAGTTTGGGTATGTTTTAAGGTGTCTCATGAACAGTTCCAGTTAGCTTTTTTCATTTTTCCTCATTGGTGAAACAGGAAGGGAACTTTGGTGTAACTAACCCCTGTTCAACCATCCGTCCGTTTGTCCGTAAACAGTGCTTATTTTATTAAATTTTAGTACTTGAGATAAATACATAGGTAGTGTGATGCAAATTTTTAAACATATTGAAAGTGACATTTTGGTAATATAATTTTTTCTTGTTAAATTTGCATAGCACTGTACCATAATTCATAATTTTGTTTCTTATATTTTTGTAAAGGGAAGGGAATCACAGTTGAGCAGATATAATATACAGGCATCCCCTGCGTTACGGAAGGGTTGCGTCCCTGGAAAATTGACCGTATCGTGAAATTCCGTAACGCGAAACCTATTTTCCCACTGACTTCCATTATAAAACTGGAGATGCATTCCTAAGGAATTTCTTTCGGTCCCCAAAAAGTAATTCAAGCACTTATATGAATGAAAAGAAGCATTTATAAACACATACAATAGAGTACATTAAATAATTTATGATATACCTTCTTAAAACATCAAGTTTAATATCCAATGTAATGCCTTTGCGGCTTCTTTTTGCACTATTGCGGTTATTTCCACTTGATGGCCTCTTTCCAATCATCTTGAATAAAGGTAATGCACTCTGCTGTACTTACTGTATGTTTGTAAAAGTTAAATCCAACTGCTGGGGCGAGAAACATGCGCGCACACTGGATGTAAACAATGGACTGACTCCGCGTGGTGACCAGGGCTGACGGGATTTCCGACTCTTGTTTACCGAACACGCTGATTGGTTCAACTGCTCGCGTTGTGATTTGTTGCGAGAACATGACGTAATATTACGATTTTCTATAATAGAATGAGTGGTGAGGGGTAACGAAGATCCCAGATACAGTAATTATACCTGTATTAGAGCAGTCCTCATACTCAGTGAATTTCATTGTTCCTGTCATTAGTTCTATAAATTTCTGAATAATAAACACTGCATTATACACCATTCAGAGTGTTATATGAGATAACATTAGATTTGTATTTTATCAATTGTAATTTGTATTACTTTTCGATAATACTGAATACAAAAATAACCAAAACATTCCAACAATTTTATTTTGACTGCATAAAAAATACAAATATATAAACATTTAGAAGCATAACTAAGCACAAGAAATATATACACGACCTTATTTCACACATTGTAACATGGTATCGATATCGCTTCGTGTGTGACACAGCAGAATATGATTCTGCTAAAATATCGCTAATAAAATGTAGGTAAGGTAATAAAATACATCTACAATATATTTCTGTATATTCTATATGGTGTTTTAGCCATGAAAAAGCATATTTCCTAAAGTCGGTAATTTACCGACAGTCGGAGCAGTGACGTTACGGCTTACCGACTACGTCATCAATTTACCGATTAACAGACGAAGTACCGGATTTGAACCAATCAGCGTATTCGATAAACAAGAGTCGGAAATTCCGACAGCCCCGGTGGCGATGCCACGCTTGGCGGTAGCAAACACTAAGAAATCCACACCAAACAAATTAGAATTTTTGACAAAAACTTTATTTTATTATTATTTTTTTTTTTTTTTTTTTTTAACCACAATTTCCTTAAGGGCGGATTTACTGGCCGTATCGCAAAATATTGGTCATAATTTACAAATTCCGTAAGAGCGAAATTCCGCAACCCGGGGTTCCGTAACGCGGGGGATGCCTATAATTGTGCAGTAGTAGTAGTAGTACCTGAGGGAAAATTTGGCCCACATTTTCAGTTTTGATATATTGGTGTGTACCATCAGAGCCAAGGTGATGTTTCCACTAAAACTTTTTTGTTTAGTAGACGTGGCATACCATTTCCAGCTAAGGAAGCATTTGTATGAAATGACCATTTGATAATAAAGTTTGGCATCTCCAACACTCGCTGGTTATACCACACTTTCCCATGACCTAGTTAATGCAGGAAAACTAAGTCTGCTTAAAAAAACTGGATAACCACAGGCGAATACTGTGGTAACCATGTGTTCTTGTAACAGAAAATGTTCATCACCTAGACGTGTTAATTAAGTAGTATGTGATTAATTTGATTTTGTATTTATTGAATTTTGATAGAATTTGTTTCCACTGCTTGGGAGAACCTGTTTTGCAAGTGAAGATTTTTTAACTGGATGTATGATAATGGTGTAGATGTGCCGTGGAGTTATGGGTTGTGTTTGGTTTTCACAAGTTTGCAGACTTAGATTCTCACTGCAGTCATGGTTAGAGTTGACAGGCATGTTTTGTCACATTGTGCATACAGCTGGAGACCTGTTTCCAGAAGCCCTGAACTAGCCCTCCTTCATTATTAAGAAGGATAAAATCCCATCTAGTGGGAACTGTGTAAATCAGATGTTAATAACAACTTCCTAACTTTAGAGGAGTTTAATTTTCCAGTGATTAATAACCAGTTACTTTACTGTACTGTAGGTTTTGGAAATTGAATAAGGTAAGTGTGCAGAGGGGGGTGTGTGTGCACTCACTCCAAAAAAGTATCTTTACGATTTTGAGATAATATGACATGACGGATGTAGGATTTTGACAACCCTGCTGAGACAACCGGAGTTGCAGTTTTCATTATGAAAATCATTGGATCCCTCCGTAAAGATACTTTTTGGGTGAGTGTACCTGATTTCAGCATGTGGGCAATGCCAAAAAATTAAATTATTCTCGATAGTCTTGTCTAGGGCTATTTTGGTGCTCAATACTGTTCTTGATTCCACAGCTTAAGCTGGTAAACTGTTCCATACTCTACCACCCTCTTTGTGAAGTATTTCTTTATGGTTGTTTTGCATAATAACTTGGCGAGCTTGAAGTTGTGTCCCATCATGGTGGTGCTTGAAAATAGGACCTGGATTCACTTTTTCCATCCCTTTCAAGATTTTGAATGTCTTTATAATTATGTACAGTCAGCCAAAGATGCACCGACCCCACCCTGGGTCTCGTGCTTGCAATTTTACGTGGCAATACTTGAAGGAAAGAAGGCTGTATATAAAGGTGATTGTGATTGGTGGATTTATTTTCGGCTGTATCGCTGTCGGGATAAATATTTTTACAATAATAAACTATTCATCGTTATTTAAGATCATGACAAGTTTCCAAATATTCATGAATTTGCTTTAAAAATAAAAAAATTATATCAATGAATTGGCAACGCAGCTACAACCAGGGCTGCCACGAGATTCTCACTTCAAATTTCAAGAATATAGAGTATGTTCCACTCTTAATCTTGAGTGTTTCATGAAGGAATTACAGTAATTGTCTTTCCAGTGTGAGCATTAAATCATATAATTTGACGTAAGTTAGAGAACAGACACTGTAACAGACTCAACTGACACAATAATGACATATGGTATCCCTGCACCAGCGCCGCACGGATGTGTGGAGAAGGGAAAAGACTGAAGTGGTCATTTTGGTGTTGTACTAACTGCATTTGATGGTATTATTATTAATAACTCAGTGAATGAGAGAGAGAGTATACTTATATAGAGTTGATGAGGACTCAGAAAGGGGATGAATAGCTCTCAGTATTTTGGGGAGGGTTTATGTTCCTCACTTTTTTATTTATTTTTTAATCATATTGCAACTGGCTTTATTGTCATTGCATAATTTATATTTAAGGTTTATAATATATTTCTTTCGAAGATTACAATATAGACAGGTGTATTATTTATAGTATAGTGTTTAATAATGGGTCCATCCAACCTCCTTATCAATTACAGCTTGCAGCCTCCGCTGCATGGATGATACCTTGTTTGTAACAAGCTCAGGTTTGTTTCTAAAAATCTCCCACTGTCTTGTCACATGGTAACGTCCTCTCAAACTCAGGCTCCCAGGAATTGACTATATTTGCCCAGATATTTTCAATGGGATTCTTGTCGCATCCCTTGCTCGGCAATTCCAAGATCCTGAGGTGTTGCTGCCCGTCAAACACTGATGCACTGCTCTGGTCATGTGGATGGGGCATCTGTCATGAATAAAAGTAATTGGCCTAGCAGGGAATGGGAAATTGCGTTCCTAAATTGAAGGGAGGAACTGATTCCGCACGATGTCTAGGTATTTATTTGCCGTAAACCTCCAAGGAATTTGGAAAACATCTCCCATACCGTGCCGGGATATGTAGCCCCCACACGTTCAGTGTCACATGCCCACTTATAGCCACCTCGTTTATGTTGGCCCTGTTGTATCTGTAGGAAGGGAAAATACGATACAATTGCAGCTAGACCCCGACTTACAACTGCCGCAGTTGTGACCATATTTTTTTTTTTCCAATGACATGCATTTTCTATACGGAAACGTTTTCAGTTAATGTAGTCTCCATGTATAATTAGAAAATTATGGGGGCCCCATGTGCATTCAGCTGACTACATTAAAGGTAAGTGCTCCGTCACACTGTATCCATTCCTCATTATTTATTACTTTCACTGTACTGTATTTCATTGTAAATTTTTTTATTTAATTTTTTTTTTTTTTTATCTATGTCGGACTTACGACCTGGATTTGGGTCCCTAACCCCGTCGTAAGTCGGGGTCTAGCTGTATAAATATATTGGCCTAATTAAGCTATTACTTCTTATATTAAGTTTGTAGTATAATGCTTGAAATTTTTTTTAAATGTTATGCGATAATCTTGAAGACTTTTAATTGAAAATGTATAATGTTTTACGGCTATATCGACACATACGGTCTAAATCTTATTTTAATCATTATGAACTTGTTAATACAGTATGTTGAGTTCACTTACCTCGTGCAATTTGGCCACCACAAATGAATTTTACCGTGGTTAGTACTGGCAAAAGTCTTCTCATCCGTGAAGACTACTCACAATCAAAACCCCAGGTCCTCCCCCACATACTGCTGGGCAAACTGGAGGCGACCAGTGCGGTGTTGTTCTGTTAGCCGTTCCTTTATGGCAGGAACTGTGTTGTATGCCCGCCTCATGGAAATGTGACCTGACAGTCTGTGCACAGACCTCTAAGTGTAACGCCTCTCTGATGGCGACAACGTTGGGCGTTTCAGTCACCGACGACTATTATAGCCTTGGTATTATTTTAAAAGCAAATTTGGGTGTCACCAAAGACTCCTTGGTGTTATTTTAAAGGCAAATTTGTGTTTCAGCCACCACAGACTATATACTTGGTGTTAATTTAAAGGCAAATTTTGGGTGTTTCAGTCACGAAACACTGTAGCTTTGGTGTTAATTTAAAGGCAAGTTTGGGTGTTTTAGCCACCAAAGACTATAGCCTTGGTGTTAATTTAAAGGTAAATTTGGGTGTTTCAGTCACCAAAGACTATAACCTTGGTGATAATTTTAAGGCAAATTTGGGTGTTACAGTCACCAAAGACTATATATAGCCTTGGTGTTATTTTAAAGGCAAATTTGTTGTCACCAAAGACTCCTTGGAGTTAATTTAAAGGCAAATTTATGAAGAAAAAATTGAATAAAGTGGAAAATTTGTATCATAGAAAATGGGAAATTTTATAATTGTAATTGGCATTGTTTAATTACAAAATTGGTTAATTTTATCAAAGAAAGCAAGAAATATTATATAAAATGGAATGAATCCTTCCATTTACCTGTAGCAATTACTGTTGAATGGGAAAATTTTATCATATAAAATGTGAAATTTATCAAGTGACAAATTTGTGGGTTTCAGCCACCCAAGAGTGTGCCAGTTTGTTCTCTGAGCAACCCCAAATTATACATACAGTATATCAAGCATGGATTTTACCAATTAAAAGAGAACCTTAAATTTTTATTAATAGTAACAAAGCTTTAAATTCACAAGCTATCCAATGAAATCAAAGGAAAACATCTTGTGAAAATTACAACTCCAGTACATGGATATTTCTGGTGTTAGACATATTAAAGAAAACAGTTGTAGTACCAAAATATTTTCATCAGTACTAGAAATATTTGGTGTAAGCTAATTATAATTTCATAAACAACCTTTGGTTAATACTTTTAAGCCATGAAGTTTGAATTAAAGCAAAATTGAAGTACTGTACTGTATATGGGTGCCACGTGAATGATGATCCATTGGATGGTGATCTTAACTCCTACATATCATGACAGTCATTGGATAATAATTTTTTGATCACACCAATGGAAATTATCACACGAAAAAAGTTTCATGTATTGGGCAATATTATACCAAAACATTTAGAGCAAAAACACAAGTGTAGAAAATAAGATTATCCTGTGTACATTATTTTATGCTAAAAGGTAAGACCATAATCTAAATGGGAACATTCCATAGTACTTCATTTTGATAGGGTTAGTAAAATATCTTGTACAGTACATGTAAACTACAATAAGTAACCTTGGTGTGTCATATGGCAACTAATGGTATTCCTCACACAAAAATATGAAAGTTTTACTGCTGAAGTTGACAAACAATGACT